TCAATATAGTGTTTCTTTGTTATTTTGAGGCCACCATAGTGTCTCCTTCGTGCTTGGTAACAGATGGTGACCAAGGGAGTTGCAACTACATCGCAAATGCTTCTAAATCCTACACATTAGTCTTTTGAGCTTTGTTAGCCTCTTTTAGGTCATTGTTTGGGCTTTACAACCTGCAACTTCACCCTCATCAACCTCGTTTCCAGCCACAGCAGACACCTGTTTCCAGCGATAAAGCTCTAATTGAAGCCACTGTACAGAACCTGCTCAGCACCAAACAGCAGACAGACACAGTTAGAGGCTAGCTGGTGAATCTAGTGGAGCATTTAACAGCTAAAGAGCCAGACATTTCCCGTAGGACTTGGTGGAGACCAACAACGGAGCTATAATTTCAAGAGGACCCAAATAAGTGATAATGAACAACTCAGCTCTATCAGCTGGCACCTTTAAGTCAAGTTTTTGTAAATGAACACAAGTTGCTGTAGTTGTATTGTGCCAGTAAAAGTTTTAAAATGTTGCCTGAATTGCATTCAAGGCAAGGCAAAATGGCTCATTCTAAGGTAACAAAAACACAAAGATTCCTGTATTCAGGTGATTATACACTAATGAAAACATACTTATGAATATTATATTTCATTTCTGCCAATAGATCCTCCTAAACATTATATACTGGACCTTTAAAGGTGGATGATAAATGAGTAATAGCCATTCAGCATTTCCAAGGTGATCTTACACAGCAGTACAAGTGTCTAAGCAGTGGTACATTTTGTCCACACTTTCACAAACGTTAGCACACTCTGCTCCTATAGCTTCTTTTATGTGTGTTGTGACAGCTTTCCACAGCAATTCCAAATCCACCATCAACATGAGTGATAGTGATAGTGAGGACTCTTTTCCAAAAGGCAAAGGTTGCAGCTCGTCAATCTGAGAAATGAATGAGGTAGAGGTGGTGTTACTGAGGCCATAACCCACCTTCAGTGTGTGAACTCTTTTGCAAATGTGCGTGTTTGCTTGAGGAGTATGAGTGCATGTGTGTGTGAGTGCAGTGTCAGAGAAATAACTAATGGCTAAGTCAGCAAGGTCTCTTCAGAGAAGGCGTAGGGCTCTTACACAATGCCCTTCGCGTTAAAGGAGCATCTTCGGAGCCCCAGTGGGATTGGCTGTCTGCCTTCCATGCCGATCCATCTACAGTCTAGACTGGTGCAACGGCACGTCACTGATGAAATGTGACAAGAAGGAAACTACTGTTGAACCTTTAAAATTTACAAACCCGTAGTTATTTAGGAATTGTGTGACATTTTGGGAAATACGCTTATTGGCTTGCATGATTCACTGTTAATAATAACATGGAAACCATCTGAAGATTGCTGGGTTTAAAAGGTTGACAGCTGTCTCAAAGTAGACTTTAAGCTGCAGGCACTGCTCCTTAAATGTATATTTGCCACCGTACAACATGAAATGCTGTCAAACAAGCACCCATATCACCTTTACTGTAAGTATAAATGTGTGTAATGTGCATCCTGCAAGATTAAAGGTCCTGTTGTGGTTTCACACATGGAGAGATACTTAGTGCTTAGATGAACAAAATACTTGCAAACACAAAAGGAAAATCCCCAAATATATTCCAGTAAATATCCCGTCATGAAATCAATCAGTTACGTTAATTAGGTAATGACATGTCATCTACTTTAATTCCTGATATTCATCAACATTCGATAGGACTTTCCCTTCGCTGCCACCCATGTTGTGATGTCTCTTAGGTTCTCCCAGGATGCTGAAAGTGAGCCAACACTCCTGCTCTCTCATTTGTCTTAATTACCCCAAAATGGATCACCGTTGAGAGTGAAGCAATCAGCTGTACAATTCAGTCATGTTAAAGTTGACTGTGGCAGAAAACATGTGGACAAAACAAATCTTGATGATGTTGTGGTAGGCGTTAATCAAATGTTCATTCAGTCTCAGGCTTTGTCCCGGCAAATTAAATGGAAAGACTGAAGGGCTAAAGACCGGAAGCTTGGTGTTTATCACTTAAGCGCTTTTTTCCTTTTTACTTTGTTGAAAATGTCACGCACAGTAGAGGTTTATAGGCTGGAAGTGTGCGTGTGTGGGCCAGATTAAAAGGCAAATGGCCAGCTTCTTTAATCTATGCTAAACTAAAGATCTTATTGCACAAAGTCACTAAGAGTGCTGCACAGAGAAAAAATTTAAATGTTTCCTTCTTCTACATGAAGATTAAACACATTTCTAGTGAACACCCAGTATGAAATGGGTCTTCATTATTATGGAATGTATGCAAAAAGCTCAAAGACAAAGATCGCTGACGCAGAAATCCGACGTGAGATACTCACCTCTTCGAACCAGAGCTGTGGAAGGCCATGTTTAACTCCCCTCCTTGATGGGAGACAAGACAGGCTCAACAAAGAGGCGCAGCGGTGAGATGCAGGAGCAGAAGGAGCCACAGATATGAAATTCCCCCCTGAAGTCAGTCCTACCTGTGCATGTTGAGGACTGACGGAGAGAAGCGGCGGAGGAGATGCTCAAGCATTTTCTGAGGACACATAAAAGTTTGTTCAATGGGTTCCTATTGGCCAGGAGTTCTTCAGGAGGTGGTGACTACTTTTTATTACCAACACTTAAAAAGATGCAGAAGCCCATGGGCCCTTCATGTGTAACCCCCCTCCCTGCTTCTTTTCTTTTACGGTGCCTCCTAATGACACGTATGCCTGTATGTAATTCTCTTAATAATTATCGTCAGGATAGGGAAGAAGCAGCCAGTGAGTGGTGAAATGTGGATTTCATAATCACGTGTACTCATCAGTGTAGCTGAAGAATGCATGTTAGCCTGTAGTGTTGACATGGAGAAAGCCTTGTTATTACCTGAGGGCCTCCGGCAGACATGCTGTTTATGTATCCTGCATGTTATGTAATTGATTCTACAGCGTTTGATCTGAGAGACAAAAATGAGCTGCGATGGGCCAATTTTTTGCAGGGATCACAGTAACCCAAATCAGAAAATACTCAGTGACATTATTCATTGCTCTGACTTTATTTGGCTTGTAGCCTACAGACATTTTGACATTTCTTACAGGTATGACTTTCTCATCCCGAATAGATTTCTCAGCCTCTGCGGTACACAACCACTTTGAAGTGACAGGAACCATACCCCCAGTTCATTCAGATCTCTCTAAAGGGGATGAGGCTTATGTTCTAAAAACACAAATGTGCTGCAAATGTCTGCAACACAGCCCACTGTGATCTGAAAAAGTGTCCACTTTGGCAAGTTCATATTCTTATGCTGGTGGATGCCACAGCGTATTACTTTTAATATGTCTCCCATATTTGTGTTTTTCTCTGCTTGGATTACTTGTTTATTGATCCTGGCAGTTGCTGTCCATGTTATATGATAAGGTATTAGAGATCAATAACATCACAGACACTCTGCAATTTACTACAACCAACAATATAAAGGTAAAGGATAAAGATTTTGTTACTGTATCATATTGCTTGAATTGATTGTTTTAGTAGCTACGCCACAATGTTGGTCTGACAGAGCTGTGAGGGAAACATGATACAGTGACTGGGCCTCCTCAGAGATCTGGCAGGGAGATCATGTGTCCAGCCTGGATAATTGAGAACTCATGCTCTCAATGAGAGAGCAGGCACAGACAGTGCGGGCAGAGGGAAAGAGAAAACAGTTAGTGATTATTCATCCACGCGGCAGGCCCCATGACTACCACACTTGTGACCTGGAGTCACATACTCCAAGGCCCTCCAGTCCGAGTACGGCTTGATATTGTTCATGTTGTTCATATGTGGTCCACCAGAATCTAAGCTATGTGGAGGTGACACCTTTGCACCCTGGTAGGTTTTGGATGCAGTAAAAGCTTTGCAGTGTGCAGTGTGGTGGGTGTAGGTTCATGAGATCAATTGATCTGAGCAAACCACTGGCTGACACCTAGAGGTAGTATGGAAAAGCATTCAGTCATATAAATGTTAGCAGCCACAAACTGTATGCAGTCCATGTAAGAGGACATTTTGAGGCATGGATTTGGCTTTACTGCTCACTATAGTTGGAGAACAAACTAATTTGACCTGGAGCCCATGGTTGAATTTTGATATGAGCACAGGGTGACCACATCTTACCCCCCCAAACCTGGACCCTTAAGTGTACCTTACGCTCATGCACATGTACACGCTCATCCATGCACCGCAGGCGTTTTCATCAGAATGGGGGCAATTATTTCAGCACTTTTTCAGCACACTTACTGAGCGCACCTTTCAACACCATGGACACCATGAATGCAGCATTTTCATTGTCGGGTTCTTTACTCTTGTAAATGTCATATTTGGAAGTACAAACATACATCAATGCTGTAAAGTGTCCAGTGTGGAACATTTAGGAGGATCTATTGGAAGAACTGGAATATTTTCTTTTAGCATACTGACAGGTTCTGTCAGAAATAGCCTATGTCTCATAGATGACATTTACACATTGATTGATTGACACACACACACACACACACACACACACACACACACACACACACACACACACACACTGACAAATCAGTGTTGAATTCAGATTTTTGGTGCATTGTTTATATTTTTATTTTGGGTTGGGTAATAATGAGTGGGACAGAACGTGATAAACATTTATCAGCACTAGGGTTGAGCAAATGCCTGGCTAAAATGACTATCCGGTATAGATAATGTACTTTTTATAAGTAAGTGTATCAAACAAGTAAAATGTGTCAATATCTGTACTTGTAAATATAATTTATAATCAACATTTATAAAAAATAATAATAAATAAATAAATAAATAAATACAGCAACATCTGATCAACCTATATCAATTTCAGGCTTAAACAAACAACTTCCAGTTAGTCCCACCCACTACCAGTTTAAGCCCTTCACACATCCCGTTTAAGCCCCACCCATTTGTACAGATATAAATACAGATATTAGTGTACTTGCTCATCCATAGTAGGCACTGAAAACCTTATAATTATTTTTGTAATTGTTGTGAAAACCAGAATATTTGAGTGTTTTACAGAAGGACTCGGTACACCCAGCTTGAAACTGGGACAATCCCGGGATGTCTGGTCACCATATGTGAGCAACCAATCAGTGTGGTAATACGGACGATGTGCATTTGAAAATGTAGTGTAACAGTGAGTACAGAAAGTTAGCAAACTTACTCTACCTTTGCTCATACTGTATGCATCTAGATGTTGCTAACTTCACACAAAATGTGTAACTACTTTCATTATTAACAGTTTGCTGTATTTAATTCTAATAGACTGAACTTTTGCTTTAGAAATGAAATCAGTTGTTTACTTTTTCTTAAGAGCTGAGACCTTCAGTATTCCTGCCAGATAATTATGTTATGTCAATTTTACCAGATTTTTAGTTAAAGTCTCAGTGTTTTGGCAAAGATTTATTTTAGTTTGATAAAGACAAACTATGTGAGGTGAAAAAAGAGAAAAACTAAATGAAGTCCTTGGTACTGTATTGGTTGAGTCGGTGGTGCCAGTATACCACTGCAGAAAAAGATGGTGCAATGATATTACGTAATGGAAGAAGCACCAGGCGAATCTCAAATGAACAGAATTAATATGGAAAATTTTCTGGAAATACATTATATATATAGTTTGTTTCATGTATCAATGTAGGAGAAGGTTACAGTCTCTTGCTGCTATTTCTCTATAGTTGTGCGGAAGCTTCAGTGAATAATTAAAGGGTTAGTGTGTGACATTTATTAGGATCTATTGACAGAATTGGAATATAATATTCATAAACATATTTTCATCAGTGTATAATTGTGTTTTCTTTACCTTAGAATGAGCTGTTTGTATCTACAGAGGGAGCGGTTCCTCTTCTATGGAGTCCACCATGTTGAACCACCATGTTTCTACAGTAGCCCGGAACGGACAAAACAAACTCATGGTCACCGTAGTTTCTCTTATACGCTGGGGAGGCTAAGCAGTATTCAGTTGGTTGCAATCTGCCAGTTCACCACTAGTTGCCACTAAATCTTATAGGTCCTTTAAGTCATAGGCTTCATGTTCCCATTGCACTTTGTCACATTCTGTTTCCATACAGCACCTTTTCCATGCAGCTCATCCAAGCGTAAAAACCTGTTCGCATTATTTTAACTTTTCTTTTTTCTTTGGCCTTGACAGCCTTGGCACAAACTTAAATGCAAATGAAAACAGGTGGATGGAAGCGCACTTATAGATTCTCAAATGTGGAGCTCTTCATGAGGGATGAAGAGCATTCTTCCAAAAGATATTCCAATATTTGATGCTTTGCTGATTTTGGTGGAGAGCGCTGTCTAACATGTCGCTGTAGGTGTTGAATTGGATTGACACCTGGCGACTGTGAAGACTATGGCATATGATTCGCATTATTGTCACACTCATCAAACCATTCAGTGACCCGTGGTCCCTCTGTATGGGAGCATCTGCATTTCTACAAGTTTTTCGTTTATCATAGATCACACAGACAATATGAACTGAGTTGACGATTAGGTAGGTGAGTTTGTGATCATCCCCTCTTTGTAATACATCACCAGAGAGCACTTTTCTGCCAAATCAAATTAAAAGCAAAAACACTGTTATCCTCTGCAGTTATTTTTTTATAGAGAATAAATACTCGTCTGAGTTTGATATTGTACTGTGTTAAAAGTGTTGTCCTTGCTGGGTAACCTCTCTGATATTTCTGCCAGTTTTTTTTTTATGTTTTCCAGACTATATGGTCATCTGGGCTCTGGCAACCATCTGAAAAAGGCAAAAAAAATCGATAGCGCTTCTCTCTTAATCAAGTGCTCGGAGCTTATGGCAGAACGCCATGAGAGAAAAGCAGCAATTGACTTTGGGTGTGTGAAGGTGAAGCTGGGAACAGAGGAGGAAAAGAGTCATCCTGCACCGGTTCACCTGCTGCATCAGAGACACTGGTAGAGAAAACAGATTTCCTATTGTTGACAACTGTTAAATACACAGTTACCAACAACACCAACAGCTTATGGGTCATGGACATTTTTATTCATTTGCAGTTACATAATCCTCCCCTCCCTCCTATCTGACAAGTGATTAGTGTGTGAGGAGTTTTTTAACCAGGACAGATGGCATTTTAATTGCAGTACCTGACTGCCAGGAACAAACGAGGCAGTGCTGGTTAGTGGTTATCCATTGTTACTTTGTTAATATGCACTTTCTCCGAGAATAAAAATAAATATCTGATCAGTTTAACTCCTTAGATCCTTAAAATGGTGAAAATGTTTTGCCTTCTTCTATCATGTACTGTTTTTATCATGCTCCTGGCTTACACACAGTATGTGTATTATGTGAGGGGTATTTGAGTTAAAGTGAGTGAAGGTAATGATATTTGCTTCGAAGCATGTATTTCAGTGTCTTGTCAATCACCCGGAAGCACCTGGAAATCATCCATAAATAATAGCCTAATTTGACTTATGATCTATTGATCCATGATAATTTAGATCCAGAAAAATTGAAATGCACTACAAAATAGCACATTGTGTCTATTTTAGAAATAAAGCCAGAAAAAAAAAGCCAGAAACCGTCTGGTTCCTCTGTAGTTTAATGCTCTCTAACCATCATATTCTTGCCCAGTAATTCCCTTATTCTAAAGCTCTTTCACGCACATTTACCTTTAAAGGTCTGTGGGAAAATACATTTTTGACTTCATCCTTGATGACTGGAATGTAATATTTACCACAGGCAATATAATACCAGACTCCACTGCACTTGGACCCTTGGGCAAAAAGGAGCTGTTGGCCCTTATTAACTCCCTGTTTCTCTCACTGTGTAATGTGTACATCTATGCTGGAATACCTGGACTTTGCTGTGTGGTGATTTTATTGAACATCTTAATTCAGGGATATATACCATAAATAAACACAACACAAGTTTATGAAATGTCTTTGAAAAATTTGTATTAAAAAGCTTAGAAAAACCTGACCTAAACATGACCTGAGACTAGCTAACACACTCTCAACTTGTCAAATACTGCTGTTGATCTGTGGCCCTCTGCTAAAAAATATGATACTGTAGGTGCACCTTAGTGCCATTGATGGACTCGCAGTCCATAAGTTAGGTTTAGTCACCAAAACTACTTGGTTATGTTTTTGGAAAATATCATAACGTAAGATCATAAGTCAACTTCCTTCCTTTTGGTTTCAAACAGGGCACGAACAGCCGTCTCCGGTTGAAAGTCCGATGTCTGATTCGTCCATCTTCCACACCTTCATATGCAGACTGTCGGGCTCTTTATGTCTGGTGGGTGCTAAGGGGAGTGGGAGACCAGCTGACTTAGCAAGCAAATGTTTTCATCAAGAGTTGGTGGAGATAAATGGAGAGTGAATATTGGACGTGGACGTACTTTTCTAATTCACTGAATGTGAATATAGCTTGTGTTCAGATCTTTACGGTTTTCACTTATAGATATAAGCCTCCTACTGAGTTTTTTTCTTACACCCCTAAAAATCAAAAAGGCCTCACATGAAGCTTGGGAACCACTGGGATATATAAATAAAAATTGAACTGGATATGTCTGATTGTTCACAGCTGGCAAAAAAGTCAATTAATGCAAAAAAAGACCAGTGTGTATGAATTTAGTGGCATCTAATTGTGTAGTTGCAGATTACAACTCCCTCGCTTCACCTTCCCCTTCCAAGCCTGAAGGAGGTGGCTGCAAGGGCGTCAGTGGGGCACTGACAAATGCAAGGGTGGCATTATGTTTTTCAGTTTTCCAGTCATTCCCAATTTATTAAATTCCAAAGAAATTGAAATTTTCAAATACACTAGGTTAGTACTAGTGACTACATTAGGGCGTCTAGTTCCATATGATACCAGTATCTTCAAATGGAGTCTGCTACTGCCTCTGAAAGAAGGAAGGATAATACTGATAACCCCAGGACCCCCCTCTGGAGACACCCCTGGGTGGCTGCAAAACGCACAAGTGTTTGGTTTGTCTGTTCTGGGCTACTGTAGAAACAGGGCGGTTCAACATGGTGGACTCCCTGGAAGGTGACCCGCCCCATCTCTTGATAAAACCGGCTCATTCTAAGGTAACGAAAACACAACAATAATTATTTTCAGGTGATCATAAAGAAAAACACCTCTACATATTATATTCCAGTTCTTCCAATAGATCCTCCCAAACGTTCCACACTGGACATGTATGATGTATGTTTATACTTCCAAATATGACATTTACAGGAGTAAAGTTTCTTTTTGCTTCTGCTAATCTGCCATGGACTCCAAATCACGTGACACAAGCATTCTTTTATTGCATTTTGTTGGCATAACACTCATCCTTTGTTTCTTAGCATGGTAATATCCGACTGCACGGTTCACTTCAGCTTCCAGAGGGCAGGCTCTGACGTCAGCTCGCCCGCTGGACGCACACACACACACACACGCACACACACGCACACACACACACACACACACACACACACACACACACACACTATAGTGCAGCAGGCAGCAGAACACACACTACTGGGTGCTGCTGGCTATTAATATTCCCTTATGAAACTGCTAACAGCCTATAGTCTATGTATTGTCTGCAAAACGCGGGGCGGACCGGGAGGATAAACACAAAGCCAGATTCCGCGACAGACGCTGCCGCACTTTCCCAAATTAAAATCCCCGTCAGGACAGAGAGAGAGGCATAGGGAGGGAATAGAGTGAGAGAGAGAGAGAGAGGGAAAGCGAGAGAGGGGGGGACTGCAGAACATACAGGGTCTGGATGAATAACCATGGCAACAGCAGCAGCAGCAGGAGAAGCGCTGGTATAAACATTGCGATTTACTCCTTAAAGGCTGGAACCGAACCCTCTGCGGATATTACACTACATCGCTGCTAAGGTGAGGCTGTTTTATTCTACATGTGACACCCTCCTTCTTGCATGTGTGTGGAACATGAGGATTGGGAAGCTCGTTGTTATGTACATCACAGCAGAGAAAGCTGCTACTGTAGACTGCAGGCTGCTGAGAGCGGTGTCAGGCTCAGTGAGAATGGCTCTTATGGAAATACAGTCTAATGGAGAATTTAGCTTCATTTATACATCCTATGTACTATGTCTATATGGCAGCTAATTGTCTTTGTCTGACCTATTGTATGTATGGTCATGTGTCCTTTTGTAAAGAGTCTAAAGGACACCACACTGATAAGTTCATAAAGCAAAAAAGGACATTTCTAATCAAATTAGCCCTTCAAAATAAAGGCATTATTAAAAATATATCCAAGCCCTCTCATGCTAAGAATGATCTAAATGAAATATAATGAAATTTAGATTGGCAAACTAAGCTGGCAACTGTGTGCGCTGCAGTTCAGTATCTTTGTGGCAAGCGAGGATGTTTGTCAAAGCTGCTCCACAGTACAGTGTGTGCTGTTTATTATCAGTTTTCCACAGATGCTGTAGTCTAAAAAGAACAAAGCAAAGCTGCCACGCTTCATAATGAAACAATGCAGACTTGTCACAGCGGGCTGCATAAAGATAAGAGCAGAAGTAAACAATGAGGCGAGGTTAAATCGCAGTTAATAGGGCTGCTCATACTGTAATGCAGCACGAGTTCAGGCCCTCCTGTGACCGATGTAAACATTTCATTTGTGCAGAAAACCACAAGACCATGTGAGAGTCTGTGTCTGTCAACTGAGCTAATTCAATCTAATGTCTTTATACTTTTTGACTTTGCACATTCGTATATGTGGCTCACACACACGCACGCACACACACACACACACACACACACACACACACACGCACACACACACACACACACATACAGTGGTTCTCGTGCAAATAAATTATTAGTGAATCAGAGTTGTGAATACAGATGTAATTTAGGATCTTGAGTGCAGATTTCATGCAGCTCTCCAAACACTACAAAGGTCTGTTGAGGTAGTGAATGTAGGATTTTCCTGCTTTCTTTTTTTGTTGTTGCAGAAAAGCTCTTTGATCATAAGAGAATGTCATAGGGAGACAGCATGCTGCTCTCAAAATCATACTCCACACTGTCTCTGTTTTTTTGTATTTGCCTTTGCAAGGATTTGGTATTGTAATTTTGAGCCTAATGCAGCATCATGGAAGGTTTTGGCAAATGCTAGATTATGCCATCACATGATTGCCGGCTCAGATCTCACATACCCAGTGTGCAGATTCCTTTTCCTTAAAATCAGACATAGTGAAAAAGAAGTATTGCTTCAGTAACTGTGATGTGACAGATCTTAATATCCTTCAAAATACTTCACAACATCAGCATAATTTCCTTTCATTTCAGCTCATCATTTCATTTTGCTTAAAGGAGATGCTGTAACTCATTGGTCCTTTGTCACATGTACTTGACGGTAGTCCTTTTACTGCTATTGTGCTCTGCAGAGGGAGGTGGATGTTAATGAATGGAATAATGGCTGAGATTAATATCCGGCCCTTTGAGCTGTGCACACATACAGCAGCTTCCAGTCGCGGCACACAATGACCCTCTGTGTTACAATGACACCTACCTACCCTGCAAAATCTGCTCATTCCACATTCAGTCCCTGTGAACGTGTCGCACCTTCATCCTCCCAAAATTGAGAATGGAGATGTCAGTCAGCATTCCCAACTGAGCTGACACCAACAGGGGCAGCTGGAACGTGGAAGGAGGCAGCCAGGAGTTTTTCCTAAAGGTGGAGGAATTACTGGAGCTGCAAACTCTAGACTTCCAAGAAAGCCAGCGTGTGTGTGTGTGTGTGTGTCTGCCTTGCATTAAATAGTAATAAGGCAGCAGATGGCTGTTTTGTAATGATTAGTGTTTAATGATTTGCAGCAGAAAAATCGGGAAGAGATAGTTTGTAAAAGTGCAGAAGCAGCAAATGATACGCAGTAGTCTACAGGTTGTGCAGATCTGTGTGGCGGACAGCAGCATTTGAACAGGGATTTGTGTAACAATAGAGAGATGAAGGAACATTTTAAACATTGGGATTTTTGTTGAAACGTTTAGTGTGTTAACAGCACGTTTTGTATTTTTTCTATTTAACTTGATTGCTGAACATGCTGAGCATGGCAACTCCAGCTGTAGAAATTGAGGCATTGAGGAACAGATAAGGATTTGAAGTGGTAATCCTTAAGATTTCAGTCCTGGTTGATTTGGTATCAGCTTGATACTACTGATGTATCTGGTTAGAGTGCAGGCAAACAATGTCACCTTGTAGGTAAGTGTAGGTAAGTAATCTGAATCCACTAACAATGAAAGCTCTATAGAGAGGTATTACAGAATGTAAATACATTGAACAACTATTGCTAAAAGAAAGTCAACCATTGAAGTCCATAAAAAACAATGGGTTTTCATTTTAATGAACAGAAAAAAAAACAAGTCTCTAAAATGTTTTAATTATTTGTATTTTGATTCCGTTCTATTTTCTTGAAACAGGTTTTTGGAAATTCCCTTAAAAAATTAATAAGTTATCCTGAAGGATCAGGAAAGTACAGACATGTAATGTAAAGTGTTATCCATTTTTTCCCAGCATGAAGGTGTGAATTCTGCTACTAAGCCCTGTAAAATCCTGGTGGGGAAATGCTGGACCCTGGTTGAAATAGTCTAAAAATAGGCCTTGTGGAATCAGCCTAAAGAAACTTTTTCTGTCAGCAAATCCAGTGAAAAGACCAAAACCAACAAACAATTTATCTTAATAACAAGTGCTGTCTGAGGCCCTAGGCCTTTAAAAAAAACAAGGCATTTGGGATTTTGTTTTTAAAATATTATTGTACATCTTTTGTAGGCAATAATTAGCTAAGGGCTGAGCCACAGACAGGCCATGGAAGACGGAAAATAGAGTGAAGAGCAAACGTATTGTTAGTTTTAGTCTTTTCATGTAATTTGTTGACAATATGAAAATAAGAGTAACCCCACGTTGCCCTTTGAAGGCACTGTCGTCGTTCCATCATCATCATCGTGATCATCATCATTGTCATTGCCATGAAAGGAAACACAATGTATCTCACTTAGCTGAATGACAGCCGTATGCCTTTAAAGCTGTCGGCGTGGGTGTTTTGGTCTGTGCCTCACTGATTTGATTAACTTATTGATGAATTTTCAGGCTGATAATCAGTGTTTGTAGCGTCTGTGTGCTCTAGCCACATACTGAAGTCCCTGGATTGCTAGCCTCCATTTAATCATGTACACTGTGTTCATTCCCCTCCTTACTGCCTACCCTAACACATTGCTGTAGAAGTGAGCAGCTCCTGTCTTGAATCTCTGAGACAGCAGATAACAGATAACTAGGACGTTGGCTTGAATTAGGGAAGCAGTGAAGCAGCTTCGGCTAATCATTGCTGGAGAAATCACAGGCTGTCTCACATGAAAAGACCTATAATTGGCTCATGACATTATGATGACCGTCGTCATCTGTGGTCATCCTGACACACACAAGGCTTCACTCTTGTGGCGGGTGTGTCATGTGTCATGTGACATGACATGCAGAGTCAGCAAGAAGAGGCAAGACAGTCATTTCTTGTCTCTTCAGGCCATTTGCAGCAGTGGTTTAATGTACTGTACTACATTACAGAAGTGTGTTTCTCAGGACTGTTTATGATGCTGCTTGCTTTTATGTTCATCTGCTTTAACATAGACCCGTCAACTTTTTACTCTCCTCTAGACTTTTGGAGGGCAGTAGTTGAGGTTTTATTGAAGATTTACTGGTCCCTCTTTCTCAGCTCTTGGCAAGATTCTTATAATACATCTTATCAGCAAAAGTGAGGTGGAGGAGAGCGTTCTGCCAACTAAAAAGACACCTTAGACTCACCCCATTTTCTCTAATTAAATTCTGGTGTTGCGAAAGGACACTGGAATACATTTCTCTGCTAGCAAGTGTCAAATCAAAACTGACTGTTGGCTTAATCAGGACATTATTTACATTAAAAGAAGCATATTCCTAAAAAATTTGCTCCGGTCACGGCTGGATTATGGACTGGGCCAATGGGGCCAGCATCCCAAGGTCTTGGGCTGCAAGGGGGCCTGCAAGCCTCAGGCTGCACGTCATGTGGCCCAAGACTTCTGAAGGAAGTTGAACGCCAGGGCCCTCAGTACACACAGCACAGGCATACCACTAGGCCCCTGGGTGTTCATAGTGTGAGCTAACCATTAGCTAACCCTTCAGTGTTTAAAATGTTCTCTCACCATGAGGGCCTCCTTGGTAGGGTTGAAACAGTATGAGATTTTCACAGCATGATAAAGGTCTCAAAAAATAGCACGGTTTCACGGTATAATGGTATACAGTACATTATTGTTATTATCATCAGTTACAGTGATTTTGGTTAAACAAACACTTTATTATAATTTCACTAAATATTATGCCCTATATTTTTTTTTAAACACTAATACAGTATAATTCATTCAGTTACAGTGGTATACCATGGTATTGCTATGCCACTTCAATGCTACCTCTAGGTGTTTAAAATGTAAGCTGACCACTAGGGCCCCTGGGTCCCTCAGTGCTGACTGGGCAAGGGCCCTTGGTATATAAAAAGTGAGCTGACCCCTAGGGCCCCCAGGTCACTGTTTGTTAACCAAGAAGACTTTCCTCTTTTTAAGTTTAAATTGAAGTTATAGGCTTAAACTAAGCAGTTACATTTGAAAAAAATAAGAGTCTGATCTTACATTTCCCCCCATGGACTAACTATTTTTACACTGCAATACATTACGAAACATTCAGAGGTTCTTAATGGAACTGATGTTAACTTAATTAGTTAGCTAGCTACAGCTGATCCAATCGCCAGCAACAGTTGTCATTTCTTTACTATGAATTTAAATGGCAAACTGTGTGTGCCATCAAAGAACAGACAGACATGGCAACAGTAACACATGGTGCCCAGATTAGCAAACAGTCAACTGCTAATAAATGAACAAGAAGTTCAAAGCTACCACTTTTTAAAGGGCATCGTAGGACAATTGGTATTCACAGGATATCTGCAAGCTGGAGTTAACTGTAATTAGCGGGAACTTTTGCATTTTAGTAGCAGCGAATTAACTTCTCACAATACCCCAGTGTCTAAGCTCTGCTGTAATAAAACCAGCCTGTCTAGATAAATCTCCACTGCTTAAAGAAAGTGGACTGTAACAGTTTTTAAACCAGCTGAGCTGAGGACCGGTCGTTATGCACAAGTAAAAGGTGTTTCTTCTGCAATGACGTGTGTGTGTGTGTGTGTGCGTGTGTGTGTGTGTGTGTGTGTGTGTGTGTGTGTGTGTGTGTGCGTGCATCTACTTTTCTAGTGACGATTCTCCGTGTAAGTTCTTACAACATTTACAGGAACACCAACCAAACACCACACACATGCAAGGCTTCTATTTCAAAGCATTCAATGAGAGGTTATTTGATACACTTTACTTTAAACACTGTCAGCGTTTCATCTCCGTTTGGTTGGTAACAGCTCAGTTTTTACTGTGTTTCAGCTCACACAGCAGTCTCTCTGATCGCTGCAGAGTATAAAGTCCATGTTTTCCCCTGATGATTTCAAAAATTGTGGATTTAAAGTAAAATTAAATGGTTTGTGTTTGGAAGTACAGGGGAAACACTGAGCTTTAATTGCTGCTAATGGAATACACTCCTCATATGGTTGTGAATTGAGCTTCAGTGAGCCTGGGATATGTTGATCACAGGTTCATTTAGAGACTTCCATTTTCAATAGTGTGATGCATTGAGGTACTTTGAGTGCTTGCTTGCATTTGTCTCAATGAGCTGAGGCGATGGCCATGTTTACACAGGCCTGTATTCCTAACTCTGAGGCCCATAAGATAACTAAATTGAAACTGAACTGAATGTGTACATTTTTCTGCAGTTAAGTTTAAATGTAACTGGAGTTTCCTTCAACAAGATCATTGGCAGTTTGATTACAAAATATATTTTCGGTTAAACTCAAAGCTCAGAACAAGCACACATGCAGCATAAGGCAGAATAAATTGAGTTTGAAAAATCATCCCTTTTCATTAAAATGTCCTTTTGTGTCAGAGGGGATAAGGTGCCTTTTGTTTCCTTGTAATCCTCAAGGTACAAAGTCTCTGAAACAGCATTTACAAAATCATGGCACAAATTGAACACGCCTGAAACACAGAGAAAGCTCTGGGATACATAAGGCCTTTACATTAAAAAAAACATTACTAATATTTAAAATTTAAATGTGCAAAGAAGATAACACGTAATTGCCAGTTATGCAGGTATTTGATAATTAATTAAAGGGCAAAATATTAAAGTAGGAGAACCATACCCTAGTAATTATATAGGTAATAATAACAATGTACCAAAGGGCTGACATTAATAGAAGCTGAACTCAAATCAGCTCACAGCTTTCAGCCGCACACATCAGTGCTTTTACTCTGAAATAATTAAACCATACGTTAATCTTTCCAACATTTATCTGAACACTGATGGTGTTGACTGTATTCAGACCAAGATGTCTGTCTTCTTCAGTCAGGTCTGTTCACCACAGTGGACTGCATGAGTCATACCACCTCAGCAAACAGAGGAAATAACAGTGTGAGCTAGTTTTTAGAAATGTCATTATTTGTCTTATCTTTTACTGTGGATTCTGTCTTATTTCTGCTTATTTGTCTGATATGTCATATTTACTGGCTGTCTTCTCTTTTGACAGGTGATGAGTGGGATTATACCATGTCTGAAGTACAGGGAACACTGGAGTTTTCTGTAGAGTTGCACAAGTTTCACAATGTGGATCTCTTTCAAAGAGGGTAAGCAAATTCATCTCAGCAGAAATCACATTCCCAGAGTCATGATATTTGTGTATATTACCGGTCTTTACAACTGGCGACTCAGCAAACTCACAGAACATATTACTCACATGTATTGCTGACGAAAGATCCACACATTTTAATATTTGTTGTTTTTTATTCTGTTGACTTCTTCAACAGTAAAATGTGCCATAACTGAACTGAATTAAAAATTATTAAGATGCATAACATAAGTAGCTCAGTACAATGGTTTCAACCTGAGAAATCACAGACTTTTGCTCCCTCAACTACTGTATGACTGGAAGTGACTGTAGTATTCAGCAGTTCAGAATGAGAATGACAGTATATCCCTGCATTTTAGGTAATCTTTGCTAATTTATATATTTATTTGTATGAAATCCATCTTCCATCCAATCGATTAATACATTGTTAAACATGGTACCTGCATGTGCAAAAGAGGAATACTAATAAAGATATGACTCCTGGGACGCTGAAGGTACAATTTAATTTATCAGCTGAATTAAAGTAACGTACCCTTCCACCTCTTTCACTTCTGCTGGACAAAGATTATGCTGTAAAACTGAGTCACTCTGTCCGAAAGAAGAAAAATGGTGTTGAACAACTTTCATCTAAGCTGGATGTTGTCAGCCGTGTTTAAGTACCCATAATCCTCTCAAAATGTATGTCACGACTTCATGTGGTCCAATGAAATGGCAGTTTACAGTTCAGGATGAGGTGAATCAACATTCAGAACAACGTATTACACTGCCCTGAATAGGAAAACAGAATAGTAGGCCCACATATTTGGTCAAAATTGAAAAAAGACCAGAATGAGGCATTGTGATATTGGCTTTAGCCTACCATATAAGAACTTATTAAACCACAAAAATGTGTGACTTCTGTGAAAATAGCATGTAGCCTACAATTTTTTGGCCATCTACAAAACTGAGAAGACCAACCACTGGGTTCTAGAAAGACAGCCAACAGGACAGCAAAAGACACATACACATGGGTAGCTACAGCTAAAGCTAAATTAAAAATGTAAAACAGATTTTTCACACTTTATCAATTTGTGTGAACTGAGATCCGTTTGTTAATCCACTAAAGACAATAGCAGCTAAGTTCAACCACAATTGAGAAAAAAAAACACACCAGCTAAACCGAAAGCTAACAGCTTTAGGTAGCATGCTGTGTATGCTTTTGACTCTAGTGGAGTTTGTGCAGTTTGGTTAAGTTAAGCTCCCTTTAAATCATATTTGATTATATAGTCCAAGCCACGACCTCACACTGTATATTTAAAATAGAGAATAAAACAGCCATTGCCATCCGGCCCAGTCCGACTATTGATCAATTTTCAATAAAGTTGTCGGTCCGACTCTAAAATAACTAATTCAGCTGAAAAATTGGGTCAGAGATGGGCTCAAATCGTACAGTGTATTTTTGGGTAAAATAATCGGCCACAAAAATGGGGACATTACAAATTTTGCATCTGCTTTTATAGTGTACTGACGTTAGGGTGGGAACACAATACACAAACAGTACAACACAGAAACAACACATTTACATTTAATGGGTTATACCAATAAGAAGAAGAATAAGGAGTGTAAATAAAAAAGCTAAATCAAACTTTCCAGTTGAGTTTTTCCTGATATTCCATAACATAAAAAAGTGCCATGTTTATCCAATGATGCAGGAAGATTAAAACCTCCTGTCTGGTCGGCCTCTAGCTTGCTGAAACACCAGCTTTATCAAAATGATTTTCCCTCTCTAAACGGGATGGGCTAAAGCTTTATCATGGTAATCCCTTCAGCTGAGTGCACTAATATGTTTGTTTTTACTGGTTGCCACGTTGCTCCAGATAGCAGCAGAGATCTGACCAAAGAGAACTGTATCTCGATGTAAAGATGAAGGACTGCGGAATAAGAACAGTTTGGTCCTATGCATCTCACCACACAGTAACGTAATTGCTAAAAATCAATACAGATCCCGGCTGTACCAGACTGGGGGACCACACAGCTGTACACTTTGAAGGGCCCAGTTGTACACTGATTGCATTAAAAAAACACTGATTAAATCTGCATTTAATTTGGAAAGAAGGCGATAAGCATGACATTTCTGGTTTTCGCTGATGGAGGCAAAGTTAGACTCTTAAATAGCTTCGGATAGTCAAATTAAGAACCCAGATGTATTTTCTTAATGTCATTTTTTCTAGTTTAAAGGACCAGTGTGTAGGATTTAGTTGCAGATTGCAACTCTCTTGCTTCACCCTCCTGCTCCAAGCATGAAGGTGAAACTACGGTGGCGGTGAGATGTGCGAAAAATGCAAACAGCCCTATCTAGAGTGAGGATTTGGTTTGTCCGTTCTGGGCTAATGTAGAAACATGGGGCTTCAACATGGCAGTTCAACATGGCGGCCTCCATGGAAGGCAACCTCTGGTGTCTGTAGATAAAAATGGCTCCTTTCTAAGTTTACGAAAACACAGCGATTCTTAATTTAATTCTGCAAAATAAATGTAAACGACTACTAAGATCCATTCTCAAAATAAACAGTAACGTAGTTTATTGAAAATGAAACACTGAACACACTATACGTCCCTACTGTAAAACCTACATTTGTTTCTGACCGGTTTCTGGCAATTGAGTTGACCTATTTCATCCCATAAACATCTCTTATTTATTTATCGACCTCCAAAACCTTTTCCATGCTCTTCTCTGTCAATCCTCCATCTCTAGGAGCGCTGCCGCTAACACACTGATGTGAAGACTGTGTTCACAGCCACACTTTGGTCTCTCAGATTGCCAACGTGTCCCAGAGGAGCTGAGATGTGCTTTTACACAAAGCTGCATTTACTTGAACTGTCAAAGTGACCTTTTCAAAGATTGCTGCCTATAGTCTGGAATGTCATGTAAATAATCCCTGTTTAAGTCAGTAAGACTTATATTCTGTTTTCCATTTTATAGCTTTGTGCTGATATTCCATTTTTTCCCTCAGGAATCTAATCACTAAGCTGCAATAACCTTGTTTCCCAACTGGGTTCAATACATTTTTATTTTACCTAAACTGTTTGCCAGTTGAACTGTAGAATTCAAGCACTAGCGCTCATCTGATACCATGTACAGTATACTTTACAGCCTTTGAATGGATGCATGTCTTTTTAATTATTAATAACCATTTGCCCATTATCCTTTAATAATTTAACTGCATTTGTACAGTTCGTGGCTGATTTTGTTTAACATGACATTGTTAACTTCTCGTCCATGTCATGAGGAGCACTCCTGAATCCAAAAGCTGTACCTGTAAAGATTTTTACAAAAAATCTGTCTTGTCAGTACCGTATTCCATCTAGGCATATTACGGTTATTCAAACGGTCAGTTTGAAGTTATGCCACACTAAGGCTGTAACACCACAGCCACCAATATAGTCCAGGTCATGTCAACCATTCCAAATAACCCAAATACTTTAATATTAGACTTTATGTCTCGCAGGTATGAAGGTAGCTGAAGGCTATTTTGGGTCGGAATGGCAGGATGGCAAAACATGCACGACAAATGTTGCTATGCTGATATCGTATCGTATTTTATTTTATGTAATTTATTAAATATTAGCTCCTTGTTGTCCTGATTGCCCATGTTTTGTCCTACGTAACATCCAATTTCTAATTCTGTCACGGGGGGACGGCAAAAAGTTTAAATATTTTAAACAATGCCATCTACTGTTACCGGTACTCTCTGCCGGACTCACCTAATTTTACCGTCCTGCTCTGATCCACCAACATGACCTTCAGTTTGTAATCTGTCTGAATCCACAGATCTTTTTGTTACCTTTTTTTATGATTTTATTTAGCAAACAGTTAATAGTTAGGGCTATTAAAGTAGCCCCAGCTTCCTTACTCAGTCCAAGAATCTTGAATACATTTGTTCTAGTCTCTGTTGGTCAGCAAATAGGTTTTAAGTCACATGTCCTCTTGAAACAGTAGCCTTAGTGAATCCAATAGGATTTTGTTGTACATTTTGATACACAATTACAGTTTAACATGACTAGCTAGCTAACTTCGGTTCTTTCTTATTCTCTTACTTCTGTATATAGTGAAAACATTTTCCAGGGTTCTGACCTTGAGGATTTAAAAGACAAAAGGAAATTATTTACTTGAACACCATATATCTGTCCAATGGGCCAAATTCTGGTCATCAGTGAAAAATGTCTACCCACAGCAGGTGAATCGGCAAGAAAAAGGAGTGAAATTGAAAATATCTGCCAAATAGCAATGAGCTTAATACCCTGATTATATAAAACGTGATTCAAGTAACCATTTGCCTTCCCTTTGTCCTAAACAAAACAGACCATTCACAATTGATTATATACTGCATATATAAAAAATCTTGATATGTCCTGTTCATTCAGATATAACAGTATGTCACTTTATTTAGTGGAATTGTGTGTGTGTGACTGTTATGTTTGTATCCTCTCCCTCAGGTTCTACCAGGTACGAGCAGGGTTGAAGGCGTCACCTCGAGTGCCCCACAGGTTGATAGCGACAACACAAGACAATACAGGTAAGGTGAAGTGATGTTTACGTCCTCACACACAAACAGACACACTCACACACACACACACACACACACACATGCACACACACACACACACACACACACTCACTTTTTTAGACATCACATAGACACCAGTCTCACAACCCTATCCTCATTCTGGTCAGCAGATAAGCTCCCAATTTTCTATATTGGTTCTCAGTAATCTCAAAATCTGTTGTTGCACTTTTGCTGAATGAACCCCAGCATGTGTGGAGATTGAGGATTTTAGGTATTACAGGCCAGAACTCATTTTCAGTCATGGATGGATAATGGGACAGTGGGCCCCTGGGTACAGACATATAAAAGGCCCCCCAACCCTCAAGACACCCAGGCGTAATTTTTTTTGTTGTAGTCATTTTGCATCTCATTGTGACCATTTATCATTTCTTTGTTTCCATGTTGTGTCTCATTGTGGTCTTTCTGTGTCTTTCTTTGTATCTGTTCTGTGTCTCTTTGTGGTCATTTTGCATCTCTTTGTGGTCATTCCGTGTCTCTTTGTAGTTATTTAATCTATCTTTGTAGTTGTTTTTTGTTTCTTTGTGGTCATTTTGCATCTCTTTTTGGTCATTCTGTGTCTTATTGTGGTTATTTTTTCTTTCTAGTCATTTGTGGCTACTTGTTTGTGTCTTTCTGTGGCCTTTTTTCACCTCTTTGTAGTCACTTTGCATATTTTTGGGCCATTTCATGTCTCTTTGTGGTTGTTTTGTGTCTCTTTGTAGTCGTTTTGTGTCTCTTTGTAGTTGCATTGTATCTCTTTGTGGTCAGCACCAAATGTTAACTGTCACTTCAAACTGAGACTATGGCCCAGGGACTCCCTGACCATATGGGTCTCTGGGCCTGTGCCCAGTTGGGCCATTCAGTCATCCATATGTAAAAAAGATAAATTGCTTTTTGGACAAAAAAAGACTAATATGTTAGAAATGGTATACTGTACATGAACTACAGCAGTTTAGATCTATTTAACTTTTAATGGCAAGTTATTGTGTTTTCCAGAGAGGTTTCAAAAGTGGTAATATTAATCAAATAAACTTCAGAATAAAACCAGAAAAGTACAATCAAACATACTGTTGTTATGTAGTAATATATCCTGCATACTTTCCATCATACAGATTCTGTTAACACTCACTGAGCAACAGTTGAATTTTAATCATATGTCATGCCGGGCCTAAAACAAATAATATCAGCCTGATTATATAGTCTAGATCATGTTTGAACAGGTTGCGTTTTAGCCACAGTGGTCCATATCCAAAGGGGACTGAGTGTGGGAAAATGTCACTTGAAACATGGAATTGAATTACACACATTGTGTTGTTCATACTTGACTTTGAAGTCTGTGTGAAAACAGTAATCTTTCAGTGTTGTGTGTAAAAGTACATGGTAGTGCAGGGAGTGCTTTTATTCTGTGCCTTTCCTGGAACGAGTGAGCATAATTTTACAGTATCATGTGAAATACGAACATTTTCGGCGGCCTTTCTTTTGATTGTTGTCGTCTCACAGATTGATTCCTTCATGTCTTGGCTGTATTTCTGACATCTGTGGATTCAAAAGAGCTTCAATTACAGACATGACTAAGGCGTTTCTTAAAATAAAAGCAATCCACAGATGCCAGAGGAAAACAACTATATATTTCGACATCTGCTTTGTGAAGTGTGTAGAATGCACCAGAATCTTTCATTGTAAATTGTGGATAAAAGCAGATAACAGACAATAAAAATAACCAAATGGATTTTATTGATAAGAAACTGTGCACAGTAAGTGATTCTATTGGTATGTCCCTGCCATTGTCCCACCTACAGAGTTCTGCATCAAAGAATGAAAGTGGTGTCCGGGAATTTTATGACGGTATCTTGTCATTTGGCTGTCAGTGGGTTAAAGACTGACTGACTCACTCTACAGAAAATCTTGCGTCTCTAATATCTTCCTAAACCAAAGGAAGACAAGGTGACTTTACTTGTTTATAACCCAATGTTATTTTTTTTTATATTTATTGGGTGTGAAACAAACAAAACTCTACTGGCATTTCTTCTCACGGACAAGCTTTAGTCTTATAATGAGGGATTTAAGACTGAATTTGACAGAACAGGCTTAAAGCAGAGTGGCATAGAGCACAATAGCACAGCTAATCTTATAATGCCTTTCTTCAAAGAAAACTGTATTCATTTGTGACCAGAACATTTGAGTTGTTAAAATGTTCACTTTGAATTAAATGTTTGTTTCTTAATTAATATACTTTACATAACCAGCAACAAAATATGCAACCAACTAGGAAAATTGGAATTAAAACTTTTTAACATGCCCCGTGTCTTTTACATCCTCCAATTGCTAAATACAATTACATAAAGATGGTTTCTATCATAAAAGATTCCTCACATGTCTTGTCCTCTTTTGTATTCATAGGTTGTGACACAGTGTTTCTGAATCAGCCCAAGCGTTAAAATCTAAATCTCTGGCAATGCAGGAAGCCGTTTCACTGGCAAAACTGATTCGCAGTAATAATGGCTATTTTTAGCTTGTCATGACTGGAGCACTGTGTGTGTGTGTGTGTGTGTGTGTGTGTGTGTGTGTGTGTGCATGGGTTGATCTAGCTGTACTTGTGAGGTCCAATTCCTGACTGCGCAGTCTGCTTTTCTTATGAGGACATTTTGGATTGTGAGGACATTTGGGTCCCAAATATGACTTCAGGCTCAGTCTCAAGTTATATTTAGACCGGACATGAAGCTCCAATAGTTAAAAATCACCAGGGAGATATTGTGTCAGTTTGAATGTTCTCACAGTTATAGCTGAACCAATGTGTGTGTGTTTGTGTGTGGTGGCAAGGACGTGGCTAATTGTGACGGCGATGTGTCTCAGTCTAAGATGTGACAGTGATTCATGTTTTCTCCAGAAATACAGTGACAGAAACATCAGCATTTCCTATACCTTGTCATTAGTTCATGGACGGAGAGAAATCCTAAATAGCCAAAATGTAATAGATTGCAAAGGAAATGATGAAAATAGAATTTCAGTAGTCTTGCTCTCAATGGTCTATTTTTAGGGTACTAAATTCTGGAGGTGCAGTTTTACATGATGTCAGGTGAGAAAAGGAAGTCCAGCTGGAGGAGGCTTTAGTGTTGTGACTCTACATTGTCTAAATACAGTATGGGTATAAACAGATATTTATATTACAGTTTATGTAATATAGTCGATTTTCTTTGTAATTTTAGCTCATTCTTAGAATTGCTCAGCCTGCAATGTCAAGAAAACTAGCCTTGAGTGAGTCAGCACAGGAAAACATCCAGTATGAGGAGATACAATTTCCACTTTGTCACATTTTATTCGCTAAGCTTTTAAGTAGCTGTAATAATATTGTTATAATACTCATATGACTATTTATATATGATAGTATATAGTATATCCCTCATAGTGACAAACTTTGTTGTTCCCCTCAGCTCTATTTAGCATTTCTAGGGCCAGCTCATTGTTTTCTATCATCAGCTTTGTTTTCAGGAGCAGCAGGCAGCTTATTTCAGGGTAAAGACACTGTACACTATCTGCTCAGCGACTGGTGAGCATAGTGGAGCTGCTAAAGAGCCATATATTTCTCTCATGATTTGGTGGAGACCAAGACAGAGCTAACAGGAGAGTGAATATTGGACTTACATTCATCAGGTGGACAGAAACATTACTCCCAATGAATGATGATGTTGCACAGGGTCTGGCCGATGTTTAAATGGGAAAGATTTACTAAAAAGTTTTGAACCTAAAAGGTGATTTCAATGGTGGGTTGCGGCTTGTTTCTGTTGGCCCTACAGTAAGTTACCATACAATCAGTTCATGCAGGTTTAGGTTTGAGCTGAAATCAGGACGTAGTTAGCCTTGCTACAGCTAACCTGGCTCTGTGCCAGGTGGAAAAAATCCTGCCTCCCACCTACTTATTAAGACATAGCATAGCATTGTTTCACACATATATAAACAGAAATGTAAAAAAAACAATTTGAGGTTTTCTAGGGTGCTGCTCCAAAGCATTGCAGCCTATCTCTCATCCACTGACTGCAATCCTATAATTCACCAGGCCATAAAATACATAGCAAATAAGGGACTGCAGTTGTGTACATCACAGTGAAGATAATATCCATATTGTAATTGGAAGGCTGCGGCCCTCCCCTCCCCTTTTGCAGCTCTTTCTACAAGGTCATGCATTAAGCCTGCACACCTCTCAGGCTGAATCCTGAGCACCAGCCAGTGCTCCGGCCAGTGAGAGTGAATACATTCATCATACAAAGACACAGAAAATAATCCCTTACTGTGTTTTCTGTGGAAGTGTATGCTTGACATTTCAATTGTCTGTGCCCTTCAGACAAATGAATTTTGTGTGAAGGATCGTGCCACACACTCAACTGAAGTATTTAATGACTGTGATTCATGCACAACAACGTGGTGATTTTCAAGTCAGAACGTTAGTTAGGAGAATTGGATTGCTGTTTAAGGTTTCTCCAACTGCACGAACTAAGATACTTCCTCATATTAGTATCATGAAGAGCAATTCTGCATTGAGAGTTCTCTGTGTTTTACTGATAGAGAGTGACTAGCACACACACACTCTCACACACAGCAGATGTAGAGCACCAGAGGCTGTAAGCAGATTATTTCCAGCACAGACTCACTGTGGCTAAAGCTTAAGGGCATTTCATCGAGTTTTAATGTGCAGGATGTGATAACACCCCAACACCTGTGAGAACTGCAGTATAAGATGTCAGAACTGGGTGGGTTTGATGTATTTCTGTTGCAGCATAAGTGAGATCTAACTCACTGTAAACATGAATGGGAGCACTAAAATGTATTCGAGTCACATTTATATCCGACAAGAAGAGCATGGGAATAATATTAGATATTCCCAATATTTTCATAGTGTCTGCATACCGTGTTCAGACTTAGGTCGACTTTTTTGCAAATTGTCTGTATGTTACTAATGGAAAACCATTCCTGCCAGGAAAAGAAAAAGATATATCTGCCTTCTTTTTATCATAATACTGATATTAAAAGTCACAAAAGTCACAATGTCTGGTATTTTCCTTGGCTGTAGTGAGAGAAGAAACTTGTAGAGTGAGTGGCAATGCCAGTCCAGCGGCAATCTTGGTACCAGGAATGACTCAATGAGTTGTGTCAAACAAATTTTATTCTACGTTTTTCAATCAGAAAAAAATGTTAAAATGTTAACAGTAAAATGTTACCTGGCATTTACACTTTTAAGGATATTAAAGGAAATAAGGAAGTTCAATACAACACCAATATTAAGTACAGTCTCTTTATTAACTGAAGTCTAACATATTATTATTATTAACATAAGATTTATACATATACAATTTACAAAAATAGAATTCACAGGATGGCTTGCTATCACTGTCAAAGCAGAGATCTCAACAAAGCAGCTGTCTTATCAAGGTCTTATCACTTCTGCTCCCTTGGTACATAATACAATACCTAATCCATGTCGTAAAACACACAGGCCTTTAAAGGAAGCACAGTGTGTGTAAAAGTAGTGAGGGAAACTGCAGCAGCTACTTTACAGTGATTTAGTGACTTTGGTCACGCTGAAGTTCCCCCCAGCACAGGGGTAAGGGCATGGAAAAACCTGGGGGAGATCACAAGTCCTTCACAGGTCAAACACACATAGATAATCATTTATGCTAATTCCTGCACACAGTCTCTAATCCACCTAATTTACGTATACTTAGACAGTGGCATGTCAAAAACCAAAATATCAAAGCCTCACTCGCCTGACTGCGAGGCAACAGTGCTGACACAGAGATACAACTCCTTCCACATACAGTACGTACCCAGAGGGATTACACTGTCTCTGTCACGCATCCACCAAGTCTTTGACAACAGTCATGCTCCCACACATCTGTCATCCTGGCTGGGGCTGCTTGATGCTGCAAGTAGTGACAGCGTTATCAGGATGAGGCCTGCCGAGAGAGGGAGAGTAAGAATGAGGCAGAAAAGAGCACAACCTCAGCAGGGGATTTCAAAGACCTCTCACAGCTCGCAGCTGGACAGCGGCTCTGCCGGGGCGAATGTGCTAGTAACAGCCATCATATCGCACACAAAAGTGCTGGAACATGGGAGATATTCAAAATCGAAACACCAGGGATTACATGTGTCAATACAGGATCCTACACATGTTTGCAAAACAATTTAGTCTGATAATGTTGTGACTATAGTTGCAGGGATATTTGGTGAGCTGCTGTAGTTGGCGAGCTACAACCATACCTCACTAGCTAGCTGGTCTAGCATCGGTCACTCCCACAGATTCTCTCTATTTTCTGTCTGTTTTCTCTATACTGTTATGTTTACTCCCCCTGGAATCTTATTCACCGTTATACACCATTTTGTTCAAAAATAAAGAGAGTAAAACCCTCCAAGCTAACAAGGTTGCTTAGGGACAGTTAGCAAATGTATTAGCTGGTTAGCTGAGTTCGATTGCAAACAGGACAAACATCACCAGAAAAACCCAACCTGTCTAACACCACCAAGCTCCGCACTGTCAAGAGTTCAAACGCAAACTTTAACTCAACGTGAACAATTTCTGTGCTTGGCTTTGCTCACACGAGCGAATCCACTAATTGCGAAGAATCCTTTGGAATGAATTTTGTATGCTGTGTGACCGGGCTGTTAGGGGACGAGATGGATATCACTCTTGTGTCTGTAGGCTCAAGATGAAGCTACAGCCAGCAGCTTAGCTTCACATTAAGACTGGAAACAGTGGGAACAGCTACTAGCACTAAAGCGCACGTTATATCTTCTTTGTTTAAATGACTATTTTGCAGTTTTACAGACAGAAACGTACCAGACTATTTCTTTAGAAGTGCCAGTAGGTTGATTTTTTACCTCTGGACAGAGTCAGGTTATCTGTTTCCTCCAATTTCAAGTCAGTATGTTAAGCTAAGCTAACCGGCTGCTGGCTGTCGCTTCATATTTGACAGTAAGACAGGAAGTGTTGAATCTTCTCATCTAACTCGCAGCAAGAAAGAGAATAAGTGTATTTGCTGCAGTGTCAACCTATTTTTTCAAGGCTACTAGGACCTTTCTTTCTGGAGGTGTTTTTATATGTAAATGAGCCTGTCTGTGCACAGGGAGATTAATGTTGAATACGTGAATTTGTCATTGTTCATTAATGTGTGAATACGCATGTTTGATGAATACCAACTTTCTTCTTTGCACTGACAGTTCTAATGCAAACATTTCTAACTCGTTCTATGCATGGTGTGATGCATTGCTCACTGAATGTTCTTAACTCTACAGGATATTTGCATGATTTCATCACATTACCAGTTCAATTAAAAAATTGGGCAAATAGAAAGCTAGAGGCGGGCGTGAGAGTGTTGGGATGTTAAAAGAGACATTGGGTACTTCTGGACAGATGATCACAATTGTTGGTACATGCTGAATATACACTCAGATCTCTCACCCGCCCCATCAAACATTTACAAGTGTCAGGTCACGCATTCGCAAGACTCATTACGCATTTTCAAATCCTTGTACATATTCACAAATCTGTGCAGCAAATATCAGATTATATATTTGTCAAATGACAGGCCTGATTTTATTTCTGGTTATGAAAAAACACTGTATTCCTGAGACAACTCAGTGTGTATTCAATTAAACATTTATGTTTAGTATCGTTTTGTAGCGTAAGTGTTGTGACATAACTGACTCTTGTAGTTGCAATGAGCTGATAGTTATTGTGCATGTTGCTGTGTCGCACATCAGGAGAATGCAGCTTCAGCTCCGCGGGGGTTTACGACGGCACCGTGTTCAGCCGCATATTTCAGATCCTTTACAGAAATGAGGAGATTACGGTGAATGACTGTATGCTCTTCAAGGTGCACCTTCTATTGGATGGAGAAAGGGTGAGTCATGCTGGGGACATTTTCCTCTCACACACACACACACACACTCTCTCTCTCTCTCTCACACACACACACACACACACACACACACACACACACACACACACACACACATGCTTCCTGCTGAAGCAAAAAGAAAAAGAAAAAGAGAGAATGGGGATCAGGGAATGCCATTTGGGTGCTTGCATTTTATCAGTAGCCTGGCTGTAAATTGCGTGACAGATGATTACAGTGAAAGCAGCTGTATAATAGTTCAATTAAATGGCCATTAATTAATGCATTTTATCATCCACAGTTCCCTCCCACACAAGCCCCCACTCCTACTATCTGACACAAACAATACTCCCTCATAACAGAGATTCAAGCCAGTTAATTAAAGATGAAATCTAACATAATGAAGAAATCATATAATCATGTTTAATAATGGAATAGTTATACTGCTTTGTCATTTGCTAAAAGTGGCTTGAAATGTCAGTGAGTGGACAGTTTTTGTTGAGCAGGCTTTATCTGTTGCAAGCTTGCTGAATCTGTTGTTATACATTAAGCAGCTTTTTAAACCTAGAGATAAATTCAGTGGTTATAAGGGTCATATTCATGTGTGATCTTAAGAAGTGGTTCCCAAACAATTTATGCTGTATATTGTTTTTAGTGGTAAACAGCATATGTTAGTGTATCAAAACCCTGAACTAAGTTGGTGAACATGCAGATGGTGGAAGAAGTATTCAAAGCCCCTACACAGAACTTTCATTTTGTGTTGATTCTGGCGGCCCCTGTGGACAGAGGCGGTAGTGTTTTCACCTGCTCGTTTCATTGATTTCAAGGAGAATCCAACTGAATCCGACCAGGCGGCAGGCATGACCACATTGTATTGTTTGTTAATATGGGTCACTGAGTTATTATTATTAAATTGAGACAATTTCATAATCAGTAAAAAAAACTTAATGTAGTATGTTTTTTAAAATAATAATATGAATTATTAGTATTATTATTTATTAATAATACAGTGTACTTAAAATATCATTGTGTCATTCTGCAGAATGGCCCCTATCACTGTTATTTTATCATATTATTGATGTACTAATATGTAATATTAATGTTGTGGTTGGTGGAGGTGGCAGATTTTAATTACTTTTGCAGTTTTAACTGATCATATATGTTGTGTGTAAAATCTTGAAGTAAAGCAAGGCAAGTTTTTTTATATAGCTTAATCTGAAAAGTAAGCTATAACTGTAGTGGGTTAAAAAGTACAATATTTCTACTAAATGTAGTGGAGTAGAAGTAGCATATACTAGCATTAAATAGAAATACTCAAGTATTTGCATACAAGTACAAGTACATCAACGAGTAAGAGTAGTTCTTTGAATCTGTAATTACAGTACTCGAATGCTACTTTATGTTGCTTTCCACCACTGATTACAACCTACTTGCTAAACAACTTGTTGTTTTGAGCAGGTTAGCATGCTGATGTTAGCATTTAGACTTCACTCACTGGTTTGTGGAGTACCGTTTGCATTATGGTCATCGGACACTGGTCCAGTATGCAACTTTTACAGTGTGATAAAACTTGAAACCTGAAGCCACCAATTCAATTCAATTCAATTCAATTCAATTCAATTCAATTCAATTCAATTCAATTTAATTCAATTTTATTTGTATAGCGCCAATTCATAACAGAAGTTATCTCAGGACACTTTTCAAATAGAGCAGGTCTAGACAGAACTCTTTAACATTAATTACAGAGACCCAACAGTACCACCATGAGCAAGCACTTGGCGACAAGGGCAAGGAAAAACTGCCTGTTAAAAGGCAGAAACCTAGGACAGATCCTTCGGCTCTAGGTGGGTGGTCGTCTGTCTCGACCAGTTGGGGTGAGAGAGAGAGAGAGACAGAGAGAGAGACAGACAGATAGACAGACAGACAGGTGCACAGCAACAACAGCAGCAACAACTACACTAATGGTAGTGACTGATGATGATGAACATGACAACAGCAACGATAGGGGACAATGAGCAGCGACAACAGCAACAACAGTAACCGTAGCTATAATAATACTTTATAATACACCAGTGCACATCCACTGAGAATGGACTTTACAGTGAAGAAGGAGACATCTTGTGTCCAGCAGCAAAACTTTAGAAATGAACAACATTTGCGTATTCAGAGATTCTGGATTTGTTTATGAGGTAGAAGGAGAAGATGCTTTTTTAAGGAGGAATGTGGAATTTATATGTTTTTTGGCTTAAAAAAAACACATCATATATCAAATATATATATATCATACATCTATAATTATTCTTCCAAGCCGACTCGACTATAACCAATATAGAAACAGAAACAGTCTAAGGATTATTGAGTTCCACGACCTCTTGGAATTAATGTGATTTAATTCACAGACAAATGTAAATTGCCTGTGCCCCAGACTGCCCATCTTCGGCTGAAATGACCAGGCGTGTAAACCCGCCAGACAGTTATTGATGTACTGTCCCTTACAGTTTCACCGTGGGCCCGACCCCGAAAATCCACTCTGCCTGTTTTTTTGTTGGGAGCCACCGGAGCTCAAATTGATCAGTGGTGACAGCGATGATGGGGTGTGGGGGAGTTAAGATGCCCCCCGCTCGAAGCTAATCATCCATATGATAGCCATAGCTCACACATTGACATTACCACAGCTGCTTGGTGACATATGTCTACAGCCTGGATTGCTGTGGGAAGGATCCCTGCTTCACTCAGAACGTAGATAGTCTCACATGACTCTGCATGAGTACTAATTTTAGAAGATTTCATTAAATGTAGACGTTCATGCGGAGGTGTGTGGAGACAGAGGAGCTTTAAGGCATATCAGATTTCAGCCGTAAGCTCTCCCGAAGGCTCCCCGCTCATTAACCTTCCGGAGGTTATCTGCGGCTCACAGCTACAGATAGCGCAGACAGAAATAGCCCCTCATTTCCCCTGTGCACACCCACATGTATGCTTAATCAATTGGAACATCAATAGAACCGCAAAGATTTGTTTGTATGTTAACTGTACAGTGTGTGTGTGTGTGTGTGTGTGTGTGTGTGTGTGTGTGTGTGTGTGTGTGTTCATTTGGACAAGGAGAAAGAGGGGAAGAACTGTGTCTAACCTTTATTATAATTAGCAACGCTGCACCTCAATCTTCAAAAGACTCCACTGGCTGCGCTGCCTTTGTAGTTAGATCATACCTTTTGTTTTTCTACTTTGTTTTTCAAATTTAAATAGGTGCTCTTATTTCCATAAGCCTTGCAGTCTATGGCACTTTGAACATGAGGGCAATTCCATTCTATTCAGCCTACATCAGCTTAAAAGAAATGCAGGAATACAGTTTGTAGACCGCACAGAGAACATAAACACTTCATTAAAAAGAACTTTGAAGTGACTAAATCAGCATTGCAAACAAGGTTGGTCATGTAGTATTCATGTAGACACTACAGAATATATACTGTAAAGGTACGTCCAATTCTTATTGGTCACAGGTGATTGCTGTTCCTTTTCATCTATTCAGTATTTCATGTCTGACATACAGATAGGTGAGTGTCACACTAAAGGAAAAAGCAGATGCAAAGGGTCTCCTTTTCTCCCATTAAAGGGTTCTTCAAGTGGAGTTTTTCCTTATTTGAATCCAGGGTCATACTGTATGCTGTACACACACTCAGAAAGTGCTAACTAGCACATAAAGTGTTTTTATCCCCTTGTAATCATATGCAAACTGCTTTTGGTGCTATATAGCATAAGGTAGTTGATAAATAGAAGCATTAGAGGTGACATATAGCACTACATTGCTTCAACAGAAATGGTGCTAAACTGTACCCAAAAGTGATCCTTTTCCTGAGGACTGCTCGCGCACTGACAGTGTGCACCTTCACACTGTGCAGGGTTTAGTTTTAGGCCTATTTTGCTTGGCTACATGCTCTGGTCAAAAGTAGTTCTATGGCCAAAGACACATTTTTAATACACTGCAGTGATAAAGTGGAACAAGCCTCCAACTGAGGTTTTTAAAGTTTAGGAGCACACGTAGGCTATTAATAAGCTACTTATGGAGGATGATCTGGAAATGGTTTAAGTGTGGATTTGAACAGTAGGCTTACACTTATTTGTGTGTATTTTATTTATTTATTCTTAACCTTTATTTAACCAGGAGAAGTCTCATTGAGATTAAAAATCTCTTTTACAAGAGAGTCCTGGCCAAGACAGGCAGCAGCACAGTTCCACAGTTACAGACAATCATTTAAAAACAACAGAGAACATATAAATAGAGTCACAGTCAGAACATCATCAAACAGTGCATGTACAGCTTCAACATCATTAAGAAAGGATTTAAACCTGTTTATAGAAACCAGCTCCTTAAGTTTTAGCACTTTTTGCAGTTGGTTCCATGAAGAAGGAGCAGCATAACCAAAAGCCCTTTTCCCCAGTTCAGTATGGACTCTAGGCACAGTCAATAAAAACAAGTCCTCAGAGCGGAGCTGATAAGTTCCTGTGCTTTTCTGAATTACATACTTCTGCAGGTATGTAGGAAGAACACCGAGGATAGTTTTATAAATTAGGATATGCCAATGATGGAGTCTGCGGGTGGACAGGGCAAACCATCCAACTCGAGCATACAAAGAGCAGTGGCGCGTGAGGGTTTTAAAATTAGTAACAAATCTCAGTGCTCCGTGATAGACCCTGTCCAAAGACTGTAGGCATTTTGAAGATGCATGCATATATAAAACATATTGTATATGTTTGTTGTGTTTTAATTTGAAATTCGGGCAAGACCCGTATTTAAATGTTGTATTGTGCTTAGGATACTGAGAATGCGTTTGATGATGAATAATGCAATATTTTTATTTATGTGACATTGAAGGCCACCTTGACTGAGTACTGAATATTTGAATGCAGTGCTCAACAGGAAGGCTCACAAGGAGGCCTCAGAGACCTACCAGATGATAGTAAATGACTGAAAACTTTACTTACAGAATGCATTGCAGTCCAGCTTTCTGGAGATGTCACATCTACTCTCACATGTTTACTATAAATGGGAATTTAAGCAAGTAAAGAATCATTTTTGCTGCGTGAATATTTTAAGACTACCTCAATGGCAAAAACTGTTTTTGAATCTCTTTTATGCTTTTCTGAGGTTGAATAGAACAACCTGAGCTTGCATTTATTGGAGTGTGTACAGATGCAGTGATGACAGGCAGGCAAGTCTCCTTTGGACTGGAATATTTCAGACACGGAGTCAAAAAGGTTAAGAACCACAGCTTTAAAGTCCCCAACTGCGACATGATGTCAAATTATAATATAATTTAGTTGTTTCATATCAATTTAAACTTCCCCATTATATATAGAAATAAATAAATAAAAATACAGTTCTGTTTTAAAAAAATGTATTTTGTTTGGTGCAAAATAATGGCAAAGGTCAAAGATCCCCAAAAATGCGTGCATTGTTGTTTGGCTGCAAGCAACAAAGATGATATCAAATAATTATATAAAGATGTATAGAAACTGCTGTTTGCTTTTTTTGTGTTAATTATGATGTTTAGTAAGGTAATTTATTGAGAATATGATGCTTTCTTGTAGTGCTTGAACGTTGAAGTGGCCCTCCTATGAGATGACAATACCAGCAGTGGCCCCGAGCCAATTTGAGTTTATGAGTTTTCCAACCATACAGGTTCTTTGTATGGCAGCAGTGCTATAGAGCACCTCTTTCAGTGTACATATTGTAAAGGCCCTTGAGGCAAATTGTGATTTGTAATACTAGGTTATATGAATAAAATGAACTAGATTTGACTTCACTGAATAAAAAAATATGTAAATCATATGGCAATTGAACACCTATGGGAAATAATGGAGTTATATCTCTACCACCAACATCAAATGACTACAAAACTCTGAAAATGACTTCACAGTCCATATCAAGGTGAAACTGGGGTGAGAGAATAATTTTCATGCATTAAACTCTGTACCAATGTTTTGCAGGTGGAGGAAGCCTTGAGTGAGGTGGACTTTCAGTTGAAGCTGGATCTTCATTTCACCGACAATGAGCAACAGTAGGTTTTTAAGCAGTTTCTAAAATGTGTGTGTGTGTGTGTGTGTGTGTGTGTGTGTGTGTGTGTGTGTTTGAGAGAGTGAGAGAATGCTAGACTTTCCCCTTGTGCAGCTTTTATGCAAGAGTGAGAATGCAAACCAGGCATGAATAAGGGCTATTATGTCCTTTGGCTCATAGCCATCTCTTTAAGCACCTGATCACAACGTCTACGCTAGCAACACATGATTGCTGTGATTTGTTTGTTTGCTTGGGACAACTAGAAGAAGAAGCGGGTGGTTTGCATTAGCATACATTGCAAGGGGTGCAATTTTTGCCGCGGCACAGCTCTCGTATCGAGCATCAGCTGCACATTAGTGAAGAGTAGTTAGTGTTATGTTTGTGTGCTTAAACCGCTATTTCACTGTTTTTGTCATACCTGTGTGATTATAGTTATTGTCAAAGCTACACAGGACTGAATTATGGAGCTCATTCTCTATGTCGTAGCATGGCATAGACATCTGTATGGCTTAATAATATCTACTAGGTCTCCATTACCATTCCAGTCAAGATTCAGACTCTTTCTCTACGACTTTTTTCTTTCATAGCTGCAGGAACAGTGCATGTCCTTAATAATGATATTCTCAGACATCTTTTAAAGAGTCTGGCAAAAGGAACAGATATTTGTCAGTGTAAGAAACAGACTCAGCAGGGTCAGATAAAATAGGTACAAATATTCCTTTTGTCGTTTTTCATCAGCACTACAAGTTTAACTGCAATGTATTGTTTCATTTTAAGAATTGTAGAAGAAGAGATGTAAAAGTATGTGTCATTTGTGTGTCTCTCTTCTTCCCTCACTCAGGCTGGCTGAGATAGCGACTGTCCCGCTGATCAGCAGTCGGACCCTCAGTCTCCACTTCCACCCACGGAGAGGCCTCCACCACCACGTCCCTGTGATGTTCGACTACTTCCACCTGTCCGTCATTTCTGTCTCCATACATGCTTCACTGGTTGCCTTACATCAGCCGCTAATCAGGTAGCAAATATTTGCATTTGACAGACCTTGGACTCACACAAAGCATCAATACTTTTTTATTATGATATGATCCCAAGGACCCAATTGAGGTTTTTGCTAAGCTAATGATCCATGAGTTAGATGAAAGCCCTGTCTCCAGCTTAGATTGTAATGTTTAAAAATAATAAACTTGATACATGATATTGTTGAAAGACTAAGGCGAAACCTGCATGTTCTAGGTAAAGAGTATAAAAAAGATTGCTATTTCTTTTTCAGTCCCTCCAGGATTTCATAGGCTTCTTTTGGGATTGTTGCAGCCTAAAATGCCTGATGTCATGGCAGCATTTAATAAAAAATGCAATGCATTTTGCGATGTTTTTAGTCATTTTTTTGCAATGCATTTTGCAGGAGATAGTGAAAATTCCAAGAGCAGTTGTGATTTATTTTGTATAATTCATTAAGAATTGAAGGCAACTTGTTCCAGTGAGAATAAAATGAAAATGGCTAGTTGTATTTATGGCTCAATGTTTTGCTTGGGGGACTTCTCTGATTGGTCAAACTCAAAATTGCAAGGTTGTGCAAGTAGCTCAATCCATAGGGAAAGTCCAGCAGGGGCCACAGTATAGTCTAGAATCTAGTCTAGAGTCTAGATTGTGGACTGGTAGCTGAAAAGGTACCAGTTCACCTCCTTGGCCTATGTGTACAAATTCAAGTGAATATTGGAATTTCACCATTGGGGATTAATAAAAATCCTCTTCTTCCAAATAGAGGACCAGATGCTAACATTTGCCTAAAAAGTCAGATAGCATCCAGGACACGCAGTAGGGAAATACTACACAGTGGATGGGCTTGTTTGTGTTTGTAATGTCACCTGTATCCACCTCACTAATGGGTGTAGCCTATTTGCGTCCTAGTTATGTCTTCCTTGAAGTAATGCTGAGTAGTAACCTAGTTAGCTGAACATGCTAGGCCACAGATTTCCAAACGTTTCCATGCCAGGGCCCTCAAATAACATTAACATGTGGCCGGGACCATGACTATACTGTATACACTGAGATTTTGATATGTTATATATCCTTTTAAATTATATTTTATACTAATAAACATAATAATAAGGTATTAATTCAATTTTAATTTTAAAAATATTTTCCCCTCATCTTCCTCCATATTTTCTGAGGCCCCCTGGCACCCCCTGGTGGCTCCACCCCCTCTTTGACAAACACTGTGCTAGGCAACTCACATTATAGCAGATAAACTCATCGTTTACTCCATTCCTTACACCTAAGCTGTTGTTTTTGGGTTTGGATCAACTCAAAAAGACACCACTCTTTAAAAGCAGAATGTTGCTCATACTACAGCACAAGGCGCACCACTTTGGTATGTTGACAGATCCAAAGTTTGACAGTTCTGCTGTGCCTAGCTACATTTCTTGTGCTGTTATTGGACAATTGTTGTCCAGGGAAGGGGTTCAGTGAATAGGGAATACGTCTTTATTGTAGACAGTTCCTGTAGAACTTTACACCGGAGAGATTTGGAGTTATTGAGTTGAAACTATAATTGCAATCGCAACCAGAATATCAAGAACAGAAGAATCTCAAGAGAATGAACTGCTGGCACGGCTTATTTGTTTTGGCAGCCACACTTAAGAGTGTATCCGTTAGCTGCTTGAACGGATAGTTTTACAAACACTTATCCGATGAATTCAGCTGTAAATATCATAAACTCAGAGTTTAGCCATCCATTACATGGATTACTGCAGCACTAGATTGATTGGAACAGTAGCAGCTCCCATCTCTCAGCTTGATCTGTGTGCCTTCACGCACACATACACACTCATGGTTTGTCCCTGCCTGTGTCCTCCCTGTTCTCTCTGCAGCTTTGCACGTACAGGGAAGGGCTCCTGGCTGGGGAAGGGCTCGCCAGAGAGCGCGAGCGACCCATCTGCCATGTCTGTGGAGAACCTTGTGTTCGGAGCTGGCTATTGCAAGCCTGTCATCTCTGAGGTATGTTAACCTTTAGCAGCGTTCAAATAGAAAGTCACAGACAGTGAAAGCCTATTTTGTCTCACAAAGCTGAAAACAGCTCAAAATGAGCCGGCCGTTGTCCCCGTTCAGCCGGTTGTTCCCTTTTTGTAAGCAAGCAGCTAAATGCCAAGCGATGACGTAAACGTGGTCTCGGTTTAGGGACACAGGTCGATGGATTTAGTTGTGATTTGTTCTGGCATGTCATTCGGAAGCAACAGGATTCAGCCCAAGAGCTGGGCAGAGTCATTCTGATCTGGATTACTCATCCTGGACCTGTCTGTCCCTCAGAATCTGTCATTTGTTGGGGCTCCGTGGAGTCTTAAGGCTTACAGACCATAGGCCAACACAGAGATTATTACTTTGCTGCACTGTGGCTTTTCATAATATCTGATTAACCCACCTGTCCAGGCATGTAGGCTCCAGGCTTAGCATCTGGAAGTGATAGCAGCTCTCCCTGGAAATGATGGTGCAGTCCCGTCACCTCCCTCTCATGGCTCTGTGCTGGTTTACAGTACAGTGAAGCTGCACAGTTGCACGATGACAGAAATCATCATCCAATTACTGTTATAATAATTATTAATCATGATTATATATGTTTTACTTTACAACAATTACATTATTTTATTACCCTTTAATCACCTAAACATACACTGCTTTCAGGGGAGTATTTCTCAAGCAGCAGGAAAATCTCAGCAAAGTTAGCAAACTAACTCTAAAACCAAACTAAAGTTTCTTTAAGTGGTAAATGATAATTCTAATTAATCTAATTTATTCTAATTTATCTTCCCAAAATATATCTTTATGGGATCTTCTTGGATCAGTTTTACAATTAATTTGTATTAATTCCATATGTGCATTTCATTGCAGGAAAAGACAGCATGTCCCAGATATACACACTCATTCTGTCAGGAAATGGAGGAGCTGCTCATTCACAGCTTGGTTGACATGTGAAGTTGCACATTAATTTCCTCTTAGTATAAAATGGTAAAATATAAAATTTTTGTGTGTACTAACTGCTAAAACAGTATACTGTGACCATTAGTATGTAGTAGCTATACTGTACAGAATCAGTATGTAGCATGGATTTGGGAAGTACACTTACTCAAGTACTTCAAATACTTTACTCGAATATTTCCATGTTTTCTACTTGCTACTTTTATTCCTCTGTATCTGAGAGACAAATATTCTACTTTTTACTCCACTACATTTTTCCGGACAGTTTTAGTTACTAGTTACTTTTAGATGCAGTTTTCCAAGTTTGGTGATTTTTAATGTTTTGAAAACTGAAGGGATAAGAGTTCCTTTGTGGGTTGAGAATATTCTCCCTCTCCTTAAGCTAAATAAACTATTTAAAAACACTCTTAAAGTACATTTAGCTGATAATACTTACATACTTTTACTTAAGTAAGGTTTTGAATGCTGGACTTTAACTTGTAATGGAGTTATCAATTTTCTCTTGTGTTTGCCAATTATTCCAACTTGTGCGCAGTTGTAAAAGCGTTCCATTTTTTCCATCTCTTTTATAACGTGCATCTCTCAAGTCCCTGCGGACGTCACAGTCTACACTGTAAATCTTAATGAGTTGCCCCCCTCGCCCTCCTCCTCCTGGTTTTTACTCCCACCCCTGGCTGGGCACTTTAATAAGCTCTGCGTTTAGCCAAGCAGGGGGGTTTCGTTTGATCACAGTAATGAGTTCAGCTCACAAGCGCCACGTACCACATAGCTGCAGGTGAAATGCACACGGAACGCCGCCTCCTCCTTCACCTTTATTTATTTAGAGCTTTCACCTGCAGCTACACTACGTTTTCAGCACTTTCCCCCTTAACACCACAGCATTTCCTCTAAGTGTTATGTTGTTATTTCTGAAAAAAGAAAATTCATATGTTGTAGATTTCCATTGATGCCAGCTGTTACATCTCAAAAGGAAGGAAATAGTTCCCTCCGTGGGATAAAAGGATGTTTTGAGAGAAAAACGATGCTGTTAGAAGTGAGGCACCTGAGAATCTTTTGTGTTTTTGGTGGAGAATAACATGATTCTGAAGATAACAGCTCACACAGTATTTGTCCTGTGAGATACTGCCAGTACAGAACGTCTTTAACAGCAGCAGGGATTGGACCCTCAGATACCACTACAAACTGCGATGGTGAACTGTAACAGTTGCAACAGCCGCAGCAAACAAAAGCAGAAATTCACATGTCAGGTGACTTCAAACTTAAGCATTGTCAGCTCAGAGAGAATCTATGGTTTTAGGATAATAACTGGTTCATACAGAAAAATAGCTATTTTCTCTGCCCTTCGCTCGCAGACTGATCCAGGCAGGCCTCTATAAAGGTAGAAAGAGTTATGAAAGTAAACATGCAGATGTTCCTTCCTGGTTCGGGTATACTGCACTGCAGCAATTACAGAGCGCGCACAGGTATGATGATAGGGCCAGAGACTTTGCTTGCTTGGGGCAAATTACAGTACATCCCCAGATACTCAGGCATTACATGCCTTTCAAAGCTCAGAGCCCCACTGGCGCTGCCAAAACATCCCAGCCATGGGAAGAAGTCGCTGGGTAAAAGGGTGTGTTAGGTAGGCAACCAGAGGACGAGGGCAGTCGCTGGTCACATTCAAAGCTCCCTCTGGCTCCATATTGTGACGGCTGATGTGTACAATGATAGTTGTTTGGAGGCCATTAGCTCTTCAGGAAGATAAATGAGGGGCATGATTATAGCATCCATGTTTTGGTGATTTGTAGCTATTTGGACAGAAACGTGTATGACTCTCAACACATACTGTAAATTGCACCAGTTAATATTTCTACTGCATTGTTAGAGAGCCATCTACTGGAAACATGCTCAATATTACAGCTTACATTAAGTTCACACTCAAAAGCAGGAGAGGAGTTGAGCTACAGGAATGATTGTCTTTATCATGAAATATAATTCCTCATCAGGCTGCTTTCTTTCTTTAACTTTGCACTAACTCTTAACACTGTTGAGTGTTTTATTGTATGATTTTAATGCAACAAATTCGATTTGCAGTTTGTATACACATCATTTTTTTGTTATTTCTCTTACTCATTAGAGCCCAAATGTTGACGCCTTAAATTCTGGCTAAACTTCCTATACTTGTGAACTTTTAAAGGTCATAACAGGGGTGTGTTACATCCTGCTTAGGCCACATACACGTATTGATCTGCCTTTACAGCTGACGGCAAGCTGTGTTTAGGGGCCATTTGTCTCTAACATCACATTAGATCTTGCATGTAATTATCTTATTTGTTTCTAATCAGAAATAAGCTCCTTCTAACACAAGCTCAGAGACTTGTTGCAACAGCTGGCTATAAAGTTCAAGTATGTGTACATGTCCATTATTAAGGAAGGCCATTTTATGAGAGGCGACCACTGACCTACATAGCAGCTGACATTTCCTCTGTGTCCTTCTCTGCAGGGAAGCTTTTATGTGCCCAGTGAAAACTGCCTGCAGAGAGCTCATACGTGGCACCGAAGGCTCTGTCGCCTCCTGTTGGTCGCACACAGAGGCATGCACACCTACTACACGGCACTGATGAAGGAAATCCCACAGCTCCAGCAGACTCCACTAGACTCAGGTGAGCACATGCAAAGACTTGTATTTTATTTTTGGTCCTTAAAAATCTGTAAAGTGATGATTGAAATGTAATGTCTGAGTAGAGTGTTTCATGTTTTATTGCTAGTGGTGGTCTCATCCATAAAATCATGTCACATTTTATCAGCTCATCATACTTATATTCTGGATTAAAACTGTAATATGAAATGTCACTAGTAACTACTGAATACATGTGTAGTAAAGTATAATATGTGCATCTGAAATGCAGAGTCAAGTATAAGTTCTAAGTGCCATAACTTGTAAATAATGTTAAGTTAAGTACAAGTACCTCAAAATGTTACAGTACTTCCACCACTGGTTAATAGTAAACAGTTAGATGTTATGGCCTTAAACCATTCATTTCATTTAATTTGTCTTTAATCAGCCTTTTATAGTTTTATTCTTCAGTCCCAAAGATTATTGAGTTATTTTAAAGATTTGTGTTTTTGTTCAAGATTATACATTGGTCTTAAGTTCAGTTCTAATTAGTATAGAAAAGAGTATGTGCCATTATATTTGTAGTTATCCTGTCCTATCACATGGTACACACAGTGTAATGAAATCCTTTGCACTAAGTTCTGCAAATACCTTTTCTTTCTACAGATGTGCTGCCTGTTGAAGAAACTCTAAATCAGCTCACAATAGAGTTACAGGTATGTTCATTCAACTAACTATATCCACATATTAAAGATTTCTATTGTCTTGTGGCAGACACTAAAGTTGTTCTCATTATGATTTGAGCTTTACTTTATCCAGATTGTTGTGATTTCTCTGTAATTGTGTTTTCCTGTTTTGATGTTATTAACATGTTATCATTTCAAATTCAGAAATGAAGAAAAAAAACATATTTTTTTGGCCTGCTGAGTTATATTTGCAATAGTGCATAGCTCCAACTGTTGATTCTGTGCACAGATAATGGCAGTAGTAATGGCTCAATCTGAAAAAACAGACCTTTTGTTGGCAATGCAAATTTTTTAAACTAATTTAAATTCTATTGTACAGCCCATCAGTGGATTTTAGCTTGGATGGTGCTAATGAGCCATTAGTTTAAGGGGATGAATATGATCACATTATTCTCCTTGGTGACTAAAAACAATTTGTTTGTTAAGTCAAGTTAAAGAGACCAATGATACATTAAATATTCATGGCTTTTAAGTATTAAAATGTAATCATATTGTGAAACGTATGTGTGAACTTGTATGATGCCGCTGCTGTTGTTACCAGCCTGTCACACTGAGAACAGCATGGGTTGATTGATTAGTTTTTACAGTGATCCAAAGACATGTGTTTCAAGTAGACTTCAGATACTGCTTAGTGAGTAAGTATAAATATGTTAGCAGGAAAACCAAGGATCCTACAATAAAGATACAAAATGTATTTTCAGAAAACCTTTCTTTCAGTTTGACATTGTAAAAATGTCTTCTTTTGTCGCCATCAGCTGCAAGAAGGCCATGAGAAGGTAGCCGAGCAGATCAGCAGGGACGTGAGCCAGCTCTGCTCCCAGCTGGCTGCTCTGTGGGGCCGCTTCCTGGAGGCTGCCGTGTTCAACCCCCACATCCTCTCCTACCTGGCCCAGGAGCACCACACGCTCAGGGTGAGAGCCAGACTCCATCAAAGGCATGCTTATACAGTGCTGAAACGTCAACATTCCCTGTGTGTGCTCTGAGCCACAGTCCAGATAGTCTCCATGTTGACTGTTTATGCTTAGCCTTTTTTATCCTTGGCACACAACAAGAACAATCAAAATGGTTTCATAACGACTGACATTTGAGCGCTGTAAGCAGCTCTTTAAGCCATGCTGTGACCAATTTTCTTACAAGTTTTTAGAAGCTATTGATTAAAAATACACCACACTAAAATGATCTCTTGGCATACTGGCAAAGTAAACATGATGTTTAAACCAGTTGTGTTGAAGGAGAAACCTCCATGTTGGACCACAAAGTGGTCAAATGTTAGAATTATAATTTAAACTGACCAAACTCTGGAGTGTCAGACTGATCTGTAAGCGCTACAAAGGGAATCAGCAAAATGATGAGATGCCATTTTAGACCTCAGTAAGCTAATATAATTTCAAATGCAATTTCTATCTAATCACTGGGCTATTTAATATGAATATGTGCTTCACAGTGGAGTAGCTTTCAATACCTCTCTTATGTGGCACTGTTTCGTCTCAGTTGTCTGAAATTAATGAACATGTTTGCTTTGGTATTAGATTATCCTGAGGGGATGCTGTCATGCCTCCACCCACCAGTGGAGTTAGGATTTCAATTAACACTTATTCTGTAATTATTGTGGGGTGAAAATACACCAGAAATAGTGTTCCTAGTGATTTGCCTGTCACACTGGCTGACTTTCAAGGATGATGCATTTCTAATTGCTGGAGAAGGAGAAAGCTTTTGAATCAATCTTGTGTCACAGACTGGAAGAAATGGTTTGAATCTTTCTTTGTGTGCAAACCTTGAATGTTTGACTTGATACAGCTGAATGTTTTGTTGAAATGCCACTAAAAATGAGATCTCTACATAGGTGAACATTTTTTCTTTTGTTTCTGGAAACACCAGGTCAGGAGGTTTTCAGAGGCATACTTCTTCACCGAACACCCCAAAGAGATATCTATGACTTTTCAAGAGGAACTGTAAGTGACAGCCTTCTCAAAAAAAGAAGAGTTAATTCTATGAATGGGTAGAACTTTAGTATTCATATTATTCTGCTGATTCAGAATCAACAGACATGGCCAGATAGCTGCAGAAGTGCGGAGCTCAGACTACCTGACCAAGATGCCTCCTTTACCTGTTGAGTGCCTGGACATCGATGGAGACTGGAACAGCCTGCCCATAATCTTTGAGGACAGATATGTGGAGTCTCCTCAAACAGGTAAAGCTAAAAGTGTTCTTATTAACTCACACCTAATCACTGATTTTTGTTTTTCTAAACAAAAGGTTTACTCTAGAACTGCATTGTCCTTGTCTTTCCAGAGTGGGTATCACATGTGCCAACCACTGATGGGCAGACCAACTCACATCCTACCATCACTCCTACCAATGGTTTTGAAATCGGCCAGGGAGCCAGATCACCAGCAATACCCCAGGATACCTTGGACAGTGATGACTGCATGGACCTGCCCACATATGTCTCACTCATTGCAGAGCAGAGTAAGACCAGCACCAACATCAGAAGTACCATGAAACCCATTCCTACTGAAGACAGTGCTGGACCCTCTTTAGCCCAATTAGGAATCTTGAAGGAACCAGAGGAAAAACGAGGTGAGGTTGAGGAGAAGAGTAATCCAGGCCTGAGGTACATCACAGTCAAGCCTTGTGATGTGAATCCATGTAGAGGAGAAGCAGTCTTGGTTCTGTCCTCCAACCAGAATCCCCTAATTCACTCTAGTAACAGCAGTGATGAGTCTCCTGCTCATCATGAAACAGAAAATACCATCCAACTTTGTGAAAACGACAGCAATTCAAAAGAGAAGGAAAACAATGAAGAAGAATCTGATATTGCCATGCCATTAAATCACTCCATGGATGATGAGAGTGAGGATGTTCCTCTCATCAGCCTTCCCACTGCCTATGCTCATCCCTTTCCCGGTGATCTCAGAAAAGAGATGACTCACCGTGGAGGTCTAGTTGGTTCCAAGATCATGAACCGCTCGTCCTCAGTTATTTCCGACTCAGGTATTGAGAGCGAGCCCAGCTCGGTGGCCTGGCCCCTGGAGGCCGCACTACGAGGCCGACCTCCTTTAGACTTCTCCAGCGAACGGGAGATTCCACAGCAAATAGTGTGTCGCCATCCGGTCCACCGCAGCTCTCTGGAAGGCCTGCAGATGGAGAGCAATGGCAGCCTTCCAAGTGCAGGTATACAGGCCTCACTCACCTCAATTAGCTCCCTTCCCTACGAGGAGGACCAGCAGCAGAGGCAGCTCAGCAAACTGACCAAGTCAGTCTCTGCTCCTCAGATAAGTAGCCCTGAAGACACTGAGGAGGACCATGTCCTGCTCAACCAGGAAACAGACACTACGAGTTTGGTGCAACACCAGGATTCATTTAAGATCAACTGCTCTTCGATGAACAGCAACCTGGATTCAGAGCAATCTGAATCATCTCTATTAGACCCAAGTTTAACAACAAATCATGACCATATTCTCAGGGAGAATATTAACTCTGAAAGGTCAAATCTTCCACACTACCTGTCAGAGACATACAGAACCAAGTCAGTGTTAAGTGGTGTGTCTGAAGTCTTGCTTTTACAAGAGTCTGCAGAGAGCCCTAATGTGAAGGAAAGCGCAGTTATTGGCAGCCAGGGGGAGAATATGAACCATCAAACACACATCAGTGGAGTGAGCGCCTCAGTGGAGGATGTGCATCTCGTTGAAACGGAAGTAGTGCCCTGCAGCTGTGGAAACAAACCATGTGTGCATAAAAGTGTAGCAGATCAGGAGAGAATTAACACTAGAGATGGGTGCCAAAGTTTCCATCAGACCAAACTGCTTACTGTTGAGGACCAGGATCCCTCCCAATCACCTCTAGAGTCTTCAGGGCTTCAACACTCCAATGACCTGCCCAATGGTACCACCACCACACAGAGGCCGAGTGACCTTACAGGGCTCATAGCAAATGATGACACATTATCTGTTGACCTCAAGGGGATATCAGCAAGTGAGAAAGAGCCTTTAGACTGCCAGACTAAGCCCTCTAAGATTCCCAACTCAGGGCTGGCCTTCGTGAATAAGAAGATGGTGGAGGTGGTGAACATGTCAGTGTCCTGTGCCCCAACCTGCTTGCCATTTTCTTCTGTTCTGAGAGACTCTCCATCCATCAGTGGAATGTCTGCTCGCCAGGCCACCTCACCTATCACCCATCAGCCCCTGGGCTCCTTTGGCATAATTTCCTCGTCTTCACTCAATCCCCTGAACATGGATGACGAGACCAATGAACGGATGCTAAAGTGAGTTTATCTTTTAACTAAACTTAATGTTAGCAACAGACAAATGTGCTGTAAATGCATTTTAAAACCCAATTTAAATTACATAGCATGTTATTTTCTGCTTCACCACACGGGGTTGCTTTGTAAATCAAACCTCCTGTGGTTTCTTCAGTGCCACAAATCTCTATCTACATCGACAATGACATTTGTAGGCTTCATGACATAAAAAACCCCACTAAATTTGAAAATCATATTTTTTGACTGCTTAAGGGGGAGACTGTAATTTCAGTTAGACATTAAGGCTGCATCCAAGCATGTTCAAATTTTATATTTATTTTATTTTATAGTTATTTTATGTGTTCAGGCAGTTGAGAATAATGCTTTTCTGAATTGGGTGTCAGTAAATAATGTTTCAGAAAATGCAGGCCCTTTGTAGGTGTGAGATTATAATCCACACCAACCACAGGAAACAAGGCCAAAACACAAGATTTTATGGGTATGTGGAGACGGCTGTTGACATCTGGTGCAGTAGCTGGCAGTTACTCATGCTTGGAAAGCCTAGCATAACAAACTGAAGAGAGGGCAAATTTGAAGAGAGGAAGTCAAGACGAGGTGAAATGCTCCCTGAGTGTATTAAATCACATCAAAGAGTGCAGACAAATCCATCACGATTAGCTGAAAGTACAAGAACTGAAATCGGATTTGTTTTGACTCCTCCACTCCTAAAATCTGTAACCTGGCTGCATGACAGGGTAATAAAACTTGGAGAAGCTGCTTGTAAGTCTGTATTTAAGCCTTGGTTTGCTCGGAAGTGGGCAATGTGAACTAAAATGAATCGCATATAAAAATGCAAAGCCGGTTTTATATTATATTTGGAATCAAAGGGAGAAAACTGTAGGAGTGATTCACCTCTAACAGATGCACTTTTAGTGCTACGCAAACTTTTTTGTAAAACCAAATCTTAGATCAGCATTTCATCTCTGCATATATAACTAAGATTGTACATATTTGGTTGTCTTTGTACGGAAGCCCTAAAGGGCCATGCATTCATACATTTTATTTCCTCCGTTTTCCTGTGATAACGAGTTAATTTCACTTGTTGTCACGAGATAACGGGATAATTTTCTTGAGATAACGAAACTTTGTTTTCCCGAGATAACGATATAATTAATTCGAGGTCTCGAGATAATGACTGTGATATGATAACTGCGGTCAAGCCAGCCGTTACTCCGATCTCCGTGGTCAAATCAGCCGCACTTAAATTTCAATCATGGGCGCATGAAACACTTTAATGTAACATATGTTATTTTAAATGTAGGTTTGAATTATAGCTTCTTATAGCTTATAGCTTATAGCTTATATAGCTGTTCTTAATACCTTTATTTTGAAAACCGGAAGTGAATACGCTGTTTCTCCGCAATTACCATAATGCTGAGAATACTTGTACACTCTAAATTTAAGTGCGGCTGATTTGACCACGGAGATCGGAATAACGGCTGACTTGACCACAGTTATCATATCACAGTCATTATCTCGAGTTCTCAAATTAATTATATCGTTATCTGGGAAACAAATGAAATTAACTCGTTATCACGCGAAAACGGAGGAAATAAAATGTATGAATGCATGGCCCTTTAGGGCTTCTGTATCTTTGCACATTACTGCAAAGTTTTTCAATTTATTGCTAACATACAGAATACAATATCTCTTTTTTTCCCAAATGCCGATTTCTCCAGTTTCTACAAAGCCAAAGAGGAGCTCTTCAAAGAGTTGAGCTTTCAGGCCAGCTTGTACAGTGACCTTCCTCTCCTGGCATCTGATCTGCCCTACTTCCCCCCCGAGGAGGATGATGAGGAGTTTGATGACGGCATACACCTTGTAGTGTGTGTTCACGGACTTGATGGTAAGTTTGCATAAAGCTGAATGTTCTGATTCACTGCAGGCAAATTCCACTGCAAGAGCGTAATAGCTATTAAAGTGACACATCTCTAGCATACTGTACATCCTTTTTTTGGATTTTAGTCTTATTAGCATTGTAAATGTAATATAGTCTCTGAGAGTATGTCCTACGAAATTAAAATATCACTTCGAACTGTGTAGACAGTGAATACTAATTCCTCGAAACATATTCCAGGTGTCTCTTAAATGATTAATGGGCACTCTTCATAAGAGCCGAGCCAGAAAGTGTATGTATAATTTCCTTCCTGCTTCCAGGAAACAGTGCAGACCTTCGGCTGGTGAAGACTTTTATTGAGTTAGGACTGCCCGGATCCAGGCTGGACTTCCTCATGTCTGAAAGGAACCAGGTACATTTGTAGACGACGGCGACGGGAGCAAATTGATAACATGTGCAGTCACATTTTCACAAGGTGCTTTGAGGCAATGTGTGGAGCGCTGACTGCTGTGCTTTTCTGTGCTGCTCTCCCTGCAGACTGACACGTTTGCAGATTTTGACACCATGACAGACAGGTTGCTGGATGAGATCATTCAGCATATCCAGCTGTACAATCTCACCATAGGCCGGATAAGGTCAGTCTTTTATACTTTAATGCTGTGCAACATACACACTATTGACGCCTCTCCTTTGGATTTATTTTGATTGATTATTTAGAGTCAGAACAGAGGCGATCATCCACTGAAGCAGCATTTGCTTTGGTCAGTAGATGGCAGCAGAGACTGTACAGTGGTACTACTGTAGCACTCAGCATGAATGTCTCAACTCATGAGAATCACTGTTTCATGATAATATATAGACCTTACAAACTCAGAATGGGTAAGTTGCACAAAATGGATGATAAGCTCTTATCACACTGTGCCAATAAGCTTTTGACTTTCACTTGATAGACTGTACTCCTTTATGCAGCAGTGTGTTGCCTACTTCCAATCGAATTAAGCTATTCATCCTCCTGCTTAATTGCCCTCAATGTGCCAATTTATTTTTTTTTCTTAGTTCTCACCGAAGTTTGTTAACTTTCTTTATTGTGGCGTATTCTCCAGAGAGTACGTATCAAAGACAAAAGCAATGAACTGCCACAAGAGCATCTGGTTCTTTCCACATTTCCTCTATATTTAGTTTGGTAGGAGACAGATGAGAGGGAGCAGACATGGCAATGAGGGATTTTGGGTAGAGCTGTAACAGTACAGTAATTAAACTAAGTGACAGACATAGCTTCATGAATCTAATATTTCCCACTGCTGGCAAAGGCGCTATTAATTTGCATGGTATGTCCTCTATGCTAGCGTCATTAAGTTGTCATTGCCTTTGAGAATGTTTAAACATTTAACAAGTTAATGAATTTTCTGTAATTACCAGTGTTGTAGCTAAAATCTCCAAATAGCCTCCTAGTTCCGACTTACAGAAGAGTCTATAAAAAGATATTACACAGCGTCGTACTGTGGGTCAGCAGCGTTGGAGGCACTGTTTTTCCAGCCACCCACTCACGTTGCAAGTTTACCTCTCTGAAAGTTGTTTGTCTTCGGCCAACAGCTTCATCGGCCACTCTCTGGGGAACATCATCATCCGCTCGGTGCTGACGAGGCCTCGCTTCCGCTGCTATTTGCCCAAACTGCACACTTTCCTCTCGCTGTCAGGCCCACACTTGGGAACGCTGTACAACAACAGCACATTGGTCAGCACAGGTGAGGTGGCCGCCGCTCGGCTGTGGGGAAGAAGCCACACTGCAGATGTGCTGTATTCACAATGCTGTGCCGCGCAGCATTTGTTTTGTGCTCCTCAGCAGCATCTAGTCTTTCATCTAAGAATATCATCCCTGTGTGTGTGTGTGTGTTGTTTAGGTCTGTGGTTAATGCAGAAGCTGAAGAAATCTGGATCCTTGCTGCAGCTCACCTTCAGAGATCACGTTGATCCACGGAAAACATTCCTCTATCTCCTGAGTCAGAAACCAGGTACCGACTGAAAGCAGATTTGAAACAGAGACAGAATATTGACTGCCTCACTTAACAGACTATTACTTGAAAGACGGTCTGTTCAAATATTCATGAAAATGTTGTCATCTTGTCTTTTTTGTCAAATTTCTGTATATGTCAGCTCGCTAACACTCAAACCCCTGCCAGCGAGCTGAGAGAGGCCTGTGAGAGGCCTCCCCACTGTGTGAGTGGAACAAAGCAGTCGTTTGTCACACAGGCTTGAAGAAGATAAGCCTGAAAACACTTTTTTTACCCCTCCAGCGCTGTGGCAGGCTGACAAAATGATCTAAACCCTGTCATTGGAAACCCACCAGTGCACTCTCTTAAAAGCACACTGACAGGAGACTTGAGAAAAAATGCGGTATTATCGTATCAAGCCTGTCATTGTACTTTGTGATTGTACTTTGCGTTTTACAACCAATTCACTCCTTTCCTCTGTCTTCCTCTCTCTCCACGTCTCTCTCTCTCTCTCTTTCTCTCTCACACACACACACAGACACTCTGCAGTTTCATTTACTAGTTTGTTTTGTGTCCTTTCAGGGATCCAGTTCTTCAAGAATGTGGTGTTGGTGGCGTCTCCACAGGACCGTTATGTTCCTTTCCACTCAGCCAGAATAGAGATGTGCAAAACTGCTCTTAAAGACAGGACCACAGGTCAGACCTGCATATATTAACCCTCTTTTCTTTGTGTTTTCAACATTTTAGAACAACAATCCCATATTTTTCTCTCCTACTACTGAGTACCAATCCTTTAACAGTGTGTCTTTAAACATCACTGTGTGAAACCGAATTGGGATTATTTAAAGTGACACTGTGTCATTTTTATACAAATAACACATCCTTCCTCCTCCAAATGAAAGATGTTCATAAGCAATGGAATGTACGCCTGCTCAATTCAGTACACTCATTGGTTTTGCTGCTACAGCCCTATTTGGTCTGGTATGACCAGTAGGTTATGGAGGCTAATATTAGCTAACGTTAGCAAGCCTAACAATAGATACAGTATTCCTGTGTAACTGGCAATACTTAAATTGGCCTGCTGACTCAGTAATCTGTCAGTAATGTGGCTCTGTTACACTTCTTCCTGCAATTGCTGCATGAGGCAATAATTCATTATGTTGTTTTCCAAAGTTTATAAAATTGTGTTGTTTTTTTGTAAGAAACGTGACAAAGAAATTGTATTTTATCAGACCTTGGTCAAGACTTGTAATTGGTCAAGTCTTGCCAATACCCAGTCTACTTAATGAGTTAAGCACTGCACGGATACAGATCAATGTATCACATCAGTTTATCATTAATTACAAATCTCATTACCTTTTGACAGTTGTCTTTACTGTGTTGTTTTAAAGACAGTGATTTAGTGTTTCCACTATTTGTTTTCAGTGGTAAGGTACATCATATGACACTAAAGCTCAGCAATGAAACAAATGATGTTGTCCCTTTAACTGGATTGGGCGTTTTTCAGGAGAATGTCCTCTTGATCAACTCACCTGTTAAGTGATGAGAATGTACAGCAATATGGATGACTTGCTGTGCATTGCCACATGTTTCCATACATCTCATGTTCTTTTCATTTTTGAGTGTTTTTTTAATGTTTATAAATTGCTGAATCTCCAGGGCGTATTGATCACAACTAGTGGTCTGTCAAGGATCTTTCTTTTACTGCACTACTACATCATGTCCTTAAAGCAGTATGACTAGTAGTAGTTTCACTCCATTATCATTAGTGAGAAGATTGATACCACTCCCATGTTTGCATCGTATATATATCAAGCTACAGCTTAGCTTAGCTTAGCCAGGTGCAAACAATTAGCCTGGCTCTGTCCAACTGTTCCAAAATTCACCTACCACTACCTCTGTATGTTATATATCGTTTGCTCAATGTTTTTTGAGGGTTAAGTGCCAGATCATTGTATTTCTTGGCTGGGATTTCAATACAAAAAATGTATCATGTATGTAGTAGCACTCACTGTTCCTTTCCATTTTTGCACTGAAGGGCCCGTGTACACTGAGATGATCAACAACCTCCTGCAGCCGCTTGTGGAGGCCAAAGAGTGCCGGCTGATCCGCCAGAACGTGTTCCACGCTCTGCCGAACACGGCTAACACCCTGATTGGCCGGGCCGCCCACATCGCTGTCTTGGACTCTGAGCTTTTCCTGGAGAAGTTCTTCTTAGTGGCGGGGCTCAACTACTTCAAATAAAGGTGCTAGCACTGCAGGTTTATGGAGCTGATCTGGAGGACAAGGTCTTAACCTTCACTTTGTATAGTATATTCAATGTATATAATCCCCGGTATGAGGCAAGGCCTGTATATCCCACTTGTTAGGATTGTTAGCAACGGTTATTAAAAGATCAGTGTATTGTGACTGTTTCAATTGCTAACTCAGAAGTCTGAGTTTGACGTGTAGCCATGCAAAATGAAACATCTATCACATGATTGATTGTAGATGTTTTGTTGGCCTTATGAATAACCTCTAAGCCAGAATTCTAACAGATGCTAATGGTGGTCGAAAGCATTTAACTTTGTTCCCTTTAGAGTTGGTTTAGAGCACTGGTTGATTGAAGGGTCACAGCGATGATAGTCTTAAACTATCCTTAGAACCGAGGCAATAGATGCGCAGCATTTATCCCCTTGATTGTACATTTAGTATTTTGTTGTACAAAACATAGATGTTCCTTTATACAGAAATGAATATATTGTTTAAATTATTTATTTTTTATCTGCTTATGTGTCTACAGTGTAAGTAGTCCATCTAAATGTGATCTTTTATGTGTTGTTACCATCAAATCTATCAAATGGAATCAAAGTGTTTATAACGATGGAGGCAGTGTTACCCCATGTAGCCTTTCATTCAATATAGCTGATATCTGCTTTTTCATACATCCACTTATGTTTAACTGTGCACCAGTTCAACTAGTCCATGGATAGCAAGTATAAGGCTACAGTGAGCAATACAGTATCTTTGATACCAAATGGCTGTACCTGCTGTGTTAGCCTCCGTGTTTTCATTAATTGTTTGCACTGATCGATAGCAACATTGACTAGATTAATGAATTGATAATTTGCAGAGCCCCGCCCTCCTTTGTTACTGTTGCTATGCATAGCCAAGCTTTCTAGACTTCTAGTGATAACGGTGGCAGATTACCACTCACAGTTCTAATATTAGCTACACTTATGTATATATAATGTTAATGTAAGATCAGACTGTTATTTCGTTCTAACATAGTCCTCTTTGGCTGCTTCGTGTACATGTTCTTATTTTCAAGCACTACGGATACATTTTAACACTAAAAACAAACAGGCCTTTGGATGAGGACTGATGAATTTTGAAAATGTACAAACTTCCAGGACCGGCTTCATACAAAAGAGAGATACTGCACACTTGAGATGCTAGTCCTGATTGGGCCTTTTTATAATGTAACCTGGAACAAACTGCTGTTACCTAGTTAGTTAGTGATGTGCTCCTCAGCCTTGCAAGTAACGCCTGAATCCTACTTTAGTTAGCTAGTTAGCCGGACATGCTAATGTTTGCAGCTCACATTAAATGTTTGCTTTTGCTTGGCTTTGGAAAGGCTACAAAGAGACACTCTTGAAACTCTTTGAATGCCAAGCACTTCTCTTACCACTGCATAACCAGTTATGGTTACAAAGGTATGACTGAGATATTGCTCTTCAGGGCAGGGGTTTAGCAAACGGTCAATTCATTTGATAAACTACCAGTATTGAAGCCAATCTATAGCATTATAACTACCACTAAAACCTAATTAAGATGCACAGCACACCATTTTGTCCCCTGAATTATGTGACAGGGAGATGGAAAACCGGCTTACTGATATAACTAACAGCAAATATGTTGTACACATAATGTGAAAGAGAAACACATTATCCATGACTGTACAGTACAATCTCATGGTCTAATGACCATCACTTTCTTAATGAGCCATTTTAAATTATAGATTAAAATTGTCTACACAAGGATAGATCGCATAAGGGACTTTGAAATTCATTATTTTTTAAATGGCGTAGATCACGGTGTCATTGCTTTGTTTTCTGGGATACTGGATGATTTGGCATTACACGGACCCACTGCCAAGATTCTCCCACAAACACTGTCATTTTCTAGAAACCAAGGTCAATATGATGCATGGCGATAGCAGGGAAGCGCCGTCGTAGCAGACGCTGTCTCGTGTTCTTGGACATACGATGCCATATTTTGATCATCTCATCAGCGAAATTAAATGTATGCTTTTTTTAAAGAAATGTTCCTCTCCGCAACCTTGGCCGCTGCACTCGAGTGTGACACGAGAGATGTCGTTTCACAGTGGTGAGGGCCGTTTCTTCATCACTGTGCTGTCCGTCAAATGATGTTTACATTTTGACATTAGAGAGCTGTTATCATAGTGTTGCCACAGTCGTCTCATATCCAGCAGTGGTCGTGCATCTGCTGCATATGTAGTTATGTACATACAGAGAGCTATATTTAACCTTTGCACTGGTTTGATGGCAAGTGCACTTTATTGACAACCTTGAATCAACCTCCACTAGCTTTACCACTAGCTTTACAAAATCCAGACAGCTATTTTCCCTGTGTTTTTTGGGGGGGTTTTGTTTGTACATGCACTGCTTCTTTAGATCTGAAGGTCGCATCCTGCACTTGTTGTAAAAATTAACCACGGCTGTCCGTCTCGGGCATTCAAGCATTGTATCGTCTTCAAAGAGTACAAAAGATGACATCGCAAAGTGCTCTTTTTTGTTCCGAAGCCTTTGCCGGGGCGCTGCATGGTAAGCAGAGTGTCACCGTGATTGACTCTAATCAAATGGGCTCCTTTAGGGCGCAGAGACCGTTCTCAAAAAGCCACTAAGCAAAGCTGTGTAAGCAATCTGTAGGAGCTGCCATGCATCATGCATCATTTCTCAACACCCCCTACCCCCCAACCACAAACACACAACACATACTGTATATGGATGAGGCTTTAGCTTGTTTGCGTTTAGGGCCATGTATGTTTACCCAAAGGGGTCGATGGAGGGAAAAAGTGGGCAAATACAGGTTTGAAATTGTTTCATGAAATGGATTTCTGTCCTGTAAAAGGTTTCACTTGCAGGCGCCGTATTAGATCAGAAAGAATTGTATCTACATTACACTGAACTCCATTCTGTATTTTTTTGTTTTTTATGACTAAACACGTCTGTACATTTATGCTGCTGTAATAACTGAGAGTGAATTCAGAGGTGATCCATAAATCCAATAGATCCTTGCAAGTGCTGTCAACCTTCAAAACTAGCTGACTTGAACCTTTTTGTATTTGATTGCCCTTTACTGAGAGTCCAGTTCATGTGTAGTGTGTGCGTGTGTGTGTGTGTGTGTGTGTGTGTGTGTGTGTGTGTGTGTGTGTGGAGGGAGGAGGGTGTGTAACATGTCTGTGAAAGGAGATGTGATATCATTGTCTGCGCGTTGCTGGGACATCCTTCATGTGTTTGAACTGAATGTAAAAAAAATGTTTGACTTCACTGTGAGGAACATGTATTTATTTCATTCTGCAGTTTTTTTGCTGAATGTATAACATGTAAAGTACAGTAAATCCTACTTCATCTGTGCCAATACTGCTCTAATATTTTTCTATGTTGCTGACTGTACTGTATGTATTCCTTAGTAGCTTGTGTCCTATGTAAAAATATAAATACAAATATATATATATAGCATAGTATTATTATAACAGATATGATGTTACAATTAAAAATGTTCCTTTTGCATTATTATGTTGTTTGGCTTTCAATTTCCAGTTTGCTTCAGAACATTTTTAACTTTAATGTTGTAATATCCTATCCAATTCAAATCTAGTTTAACCCCTTCAGACCCCTGCGTCCATTGTAACAGACAGCAAATAGATCTCAGCCAATGAAAATGCACTATTTAAAGGATTTAGAGATATTCTTAAACATTATTAACACTTTCTTAGACACGTTTCCACCAGGTATAATATCAACATACTAAATTCCTCATTTTAAATGTGGAGAAACCTGTTTTGTTTTTGTTTTTTAAAATAAACAACCATCCTAATGTCAAAATATCAAAAAGCAGCTGATGAGCTCATGGTTCATTAAGTTAGCGCAATCATTTCAATCACGTTATTGTTGTTAATTTTCTAAAGCAAGAAAAATAACTTTTTTGATGATACCAATTTATTATTCAAGTGATTAATGCAATTCCTTAATATTGTATTTATACACATACAGAATTTATTATAGGCCAGTGTTTGATAACCTTTATAACTTATTATATAATAAATGAACATACTTTTATAATATATTATATTATTTTAATTAGTATTTTTAAGACTTAATCAATTTTAATGTAATTTTGTTAATTACAAGGAGCATACTATAACTACAACTATATCCGAATTTCATCCACAACCCTGCAGGGGGTATGTGAGATTTAAAAAAGAGTAAGTTTTTAAAAGTCAGCCATGCAATATTCCAAGTTCCATAAACCAGTTTTTATATTCAGTATTCCTATTTTCATTGCAATCGCTAACTGCTGTAAATTGTCAACTGTCATGATGATGTTAATTCACTGTGAGCGGCAATGACCCTGTTCAAAACAAAGCAAAGAAACAGAAAAGAGTTTGATCACTGCAGTTGCCTCCCTGCCACAGAGACAAAGATCCTCAGTTTAGTGTTTCTCACTACATTTGAAGTGCAACCTAACAAAAAGATTCAGTACAATGCTGTCTCATTGCGTCATGCTGACAACAAGTTGGTTTGTCATGAATTTGGCGATAGATTCTAAACTTTTGAAGTGTATAATTTAAGTGGTGCTCAGTTATGAGGTTGTTTAATAAGTCCGTCAGTGATGGAGCAGCACTTTATTGTACATCTTTAGGAATTTTTCCTAGTGAAAATGTTTTGCACTGCATGGTGAGGAGGTACTTTCAAAGACTGTAGATTATTGCAAAAAATTTAAGAACCACTGTCATATAGGCCATATGCAACCATACACATTTAATAACATATTTTAGTTAAAACATTTTGTTACAACTGTCAATAGGAATGTATATTATTATGTTATTATACATTATTGTTATATCATGTTGTTATAACGTTTATTATGTTGAGTGTCTCCACAGGTTCAGCTGGTGGGCGAGGTTCCTTGAGGTCCAAGGCAGAGCATGCTGGAGGCCTCCCCGAGTTTGAAATAAGATGACGTCCACAGATGTGTAGATGAAGAGTTACATATGAAACATACAAAACATTTAGATTTAGCCTGATATCTACATGAGAGATGGGTGAGAGAGACACATACATAGTGCATACTCGTTTGTGTTTCATCAAATTATCAAACTCTTAACACAATCTGGCATACAGGGAACATGTGGCAGGGTGGGATTCAGTGTAGGAACACTGGTTGGTGGCTGGGGCTCTGGGCAAAATAAGTTGGTGGAACATGTAGGGGGGCCCATTGGGGACAATCAGCTCTAGTGGCATAATCCTCTTCTGTGTGAAACAGGTTTTAAACCAATCCTACATTTTAGCACATCATCTATTACAGCTTCAGTTTCAGCAGAAGTGGAGGTGAACTGTGGCTCAGGTCCACCCACCAGCTATTTTCTATAGCTTTTAACTGCAAACGTCTTCATCAGCGGATGGAGATAAGTCAGATGTCATCACATCAGCTTTGGAAACCTGGTAACAAATAGGGAACGTATTATCACCAAATATTTGTTTTAAATATCCATCCGATTGTATTGTAATTCTGGTCCACATATGTAATTATACTTACTGTCAACACATGCAGTTTGGAAATGCAAAGAAGAATTAATGGACAATTCTGTTGCATTCACTTTCATTTATTTCCCAAATAACTTGGTTTAGATAAACTGGGGATTTGTTTTCAATCTGTCCGATCATCTGATTGTGCTGCCCTATTAGATTCAGTAAAAAAAGCTTCATGAATCACTGTTGCAGCATGGAGATAAGATATTATCATAATCAATGGGACAGAAATAGAAAAGGCTGTGCAAAAAAAAACAGAATTGTCCATTGTTTGGCAAAATAACTCTGAAGGCAAACACCAACATACAGACACACATTGATTCATATTTTTTTGGTGTGTAAAAAAGGAAAGATGCTGCTTAGGTAAAATGTTCAGGTTATTCCAGGTGAAATAACATATAATGCTATAAGGATAAGGCTGCCGATTTTATATGAAAGAACAAAACCTCTCAGGCCAAAGTCCGTTGATTCCTATTTAAGACAAAAATCTTTACAAACAGCTCATAAATATATACTTTCATTTTACATCTCAATGATTTCCTATGACAGCTGGGCACTGTAGCTTTCAATAAATTTTACACAGACTGGAGGAAGCAGTGCATTTGTTGGGAACTATTTTCAGCCGTGGATTAATACACATTTAGTGTATTTAGTGTTTAGAGTATTTTCCGGCAGCTGGACAGTGAATGTGGAAGTCAAAATAAACTACAGTGCCCTTGTTCATCTTAAAGGACCAGCATGTGGGATTTAGTGGGGAAGTTTCAGATTGCAACCAACTGAATACTACTCTCCCTCCGAGTGTGTAGGAGAAACTACAGTGAAAAAGGCCTATTTACAGCCAGTGTTTGGTTTGTCCATTCTGGGCTACTGTAGAAACATGGTGGCTCAACATGGCAGACTCCATGGAAGGTGACCCACGGCGTCTTTAGATAAAAACGGCTCATTCTAAGGTAACAAAAACACAACAATTCTTATTTTCATGTGATTGTATGAAAACTATAACATTATATTCCATTTCTGCCAATAGATCCTCCTAAATGTTAAACACTTTAATTAATGTCACGGTCAAGGTATTTTTAATAGTTTTTGGGCAACAATGGAGCTCTATGGCACAGAGGAGGATAAATTCATTATTGATTAGCCCTTTTAATGGGATTTGTTGACATTAACCAAAACACAGAATATCACCAGACATATCTTTTAAAATAAGGGATGCTAACAGTGTCCAACAAAACCAATAAAAATAAAATAAGAATATAAACTTACCATATTGTTTTATACTGTACTGTAAGTTGTTCTAATATCTTTTACAAACAGCCGGTGTATTGCATTAATCAATTCGGCATTACCAGATCCATTATAAATCAACTGAGCGTCTGTTACCAAATTTTTCCTAAAAGACCAATACAGACCCACAATACTCTACGTGCAGACCAATATACTGGTCTCACCCAGGCTGTCACCCTGTCAGTGTCAGTGTCCCTGAGAGGTGCTTGTGCTGTGTGTAGATATGTGGCTGTTTCCTGCCTCCCCGAGCCACACGGTCCACAGAGGCAGATTTGTCACGGCCTTTAACTTCTGTCTGTGTATATTCTATTAACGAGCCCTGTAGTGGGACAACAATGACTCGCCATTTGTATTGTCCGTCGGTGACACCCGCAGTAAACGAATCATAGCAGCAATCCCCCACTGACGCCCCATTTCAACTGCATCAATTTATGACTTCCAGGTTTGGGATACCCCGGAGCTATAAATCCAGGCCACAACAATCCATACTCAATTTGATTTCAGGGTGTTCTTTCTCATTCCACCGTCCATTTGTCACTGCATGTTGAACTCATGATCCAACTGAGGCTAGTTGGAGTCCCTCTACTTGCCTTTTCCCCCTTTTTCCTTCCCTCCCTGAAATCAATAGAGCTCATTTTTCCACCTCGACCCTAAAGACATCACGCCGTCGCCGAAAACTGATGAGGGACCCGCACTCACACATAGTAATGCATTTCATTTGCTGCAAGTTAACAGCAATTGGTTGGTCACATTCACTTATCATCAAATGCAATGAAATCACAGCAAATAAAAGCAGCGCGCTTGTTTACAGCTCGGCTCTGGCACAAACACATCCCCTCCGAGGCCCATCTTATTCTGCATGTGTCGCTCCTCCTCTGCCATAAAGTAGAGGAAAAATGATTTTGTCATTAAATCCATCACTCGGAGTTGATTGAAGCGGTGTTCATTCCATTGTTTGCCTTGTGAAGGAGGGAAAGCATTAGTCCCTGAGTGATACTTTGGGCAGGCATCGTCAATAAGCAAGCCGCCAGTGGGAGTAATTATTGCTGCATGAAACTGTCGGTGCTGGAAGGTAATAAGATCTCACATGGTCTCATTATCTCCCATGACACTGATGAGCAGGATTTCACACCTACGTAACAGGAAGATAAAGCAGCACAACTACAGCAGAACTGGACTTTGAGTGCGGCTTTGAATGATGTCTTTCTTTCTTGATGATTCATCTGGATGAGTTAAAGTTGCTTCAGATGTTCCTGCACAATCCTCTTTGTTCTGAGAATGTTTTTTATTTTAGAACGGATGTTCCAGGTAAGAACACACTGGCACATGCACTCACAGTGCATGCTTATAAAAAAAACTGCAGTCAATTATTATAAACAGCTTTTTATGTAAGGAACTGCTACCTAACATAAAGTGGCCGTAATGTAGGATGACTGGGATGTAAATCAGTACCAATAACTAGTAAGATTTTTGTTTTTTTCCACTGACTTTCTACCCTGTATGTTGTCTTCACATTGGATTATATTTCAAAGAAAGTCTATTTTTAATTGAAAAGTTGAACCTGCAATTATGCTAATGAGTTAAATCTGGGTGTGATAGTGTTTGTAGATGGATAATTAGACCCTTATCATCTGTGCTTGTCGTTATTCCTTTTTAACCACACTTCTTTTTCTCTATCCAAATGAAGGTGGTAG